CTCGTTAGTTTTTAAACAAATTTGGATTAGGTTAAATTCTATGCGCCTACTTTTTGATAATTATGTAGGTCTATAATTGAAAGGCAATCAATCAATCAATCAATCAATCAATCAATCAATCATTTATTATTTGTAAAACATAGGTAGCAAAAATACAGATCTTAAAGGTAAATTACAGTGCGCTATGTTTTGTCTTTGCTAAGACATACAAATATATTTTGCAGTTTAAGTTAAGATACTTTTGTGGCTTACAATAAGAAATAAAAATGTTACAATTTAACAAAATGTCATAATTAAAAAATGTCACAATTAAAAAACTAATAAAGTTAGTAAATACTGAAGATAATAAAAATAACATTGTAGGCAGGAATTTAATCATTTAAGAAATCGTCAACTGTGTAATAACATTTGTCAATTAAAATTATTTGCAAAGTTTTCTTAAATTTGTGGACAGGTAATTGTTTTATTTTATCTGGTATTTTATTATAAATTCTAGGAGCAATACCAAAGAAACTTCTAGACATTAAAGCCGTTTTACATTTTGTGTGACATAATTGATTTAAGTATTTAGTACGCATAGGAGTTTTTCTGACTTCTGTTTTTCATTTTAACAAACAGATGTAAATTAGTTTTTTACAAATAGCGCTGTTTCCAGAATGTACAATGATGGCAGTGTGAGTAGTTTTAGGGATTTGAAAAAAGGTACACAACTATCAGTTATTTTAATATTACACATTGCCCTTATGCAGCGCTTTTGCATTTTGAAAACTAGATCTCTATTAGCGGACTGCCCCCAAAAAACAAGCCCATATCGTAAAACTGAACAAACTAGTCCATGATACGCTGTTAATAAGGTCTCAATATTTACTTTTTCGACAACTGGGAGAGCGCATATGCTGATTGGCTAAGACGTTTACATAATTCTTCAGTATGAGGCTTCCGAGTGAGTTTATTGTCAATCGTTATACCCAAGAACTTGATATGACTGACTTCTTCTATTTCGTTACACTTGTATGAGACACTTAAAGTTGGGTTTTCTCGTCGCTGATAAAAGTGCATTACTTTTGTCTTATTTAGATTAATAATTAAATTATTGTTATTCAGCCAGTCAATGATTTCAGAAAGGGAATTATTAATATCACATTGTTACATTCAATTATAGCAGTACTGTCGTCTGCGAAGAGGACCATTTTTTGACGTGTGACTTTAGGAAAATCATTGATGTATATCAAAAATAGCAGCGGCCCCAAGACGCTGCCTTGCGGCACGCCATAATTTATACGTCTTGGTTTAGATTTGTAGGTTGTAACCAGTTTAGTCTTAGGACAAATTCGAGTAACCTCTGTGCACTGATATCTGTCAGTGAGATATGATTCTAGTAGTTTCAATACATTTCCTCTGATACCGTAGTTATCAAGTTTTTGTAGTAAAATCTTATGGTTTACAAAGTCAAATGCCTTAGTCATGTCTGTGTAGATTGCGCAAATGGGATTTCTTTTATCTACTGATGATATGATTCTAGATATTAGTTCAAAAATTGCCATATTAATTGTAGTATTTTTTCTAAATCCCTTTTGTTCGTTACAGAATAATTTATACTTTTCAAGATATTCGTAAAGAGACTGATAAATTATTTTCTTTATTACTTTTGATAATATTGGTATTTTTGCAATTGGCCTATAGTTTTTAATATTTGTTTTATCATCTCTTTTGTGCAATGGTTTAATAATAACACTTTTCAGACTATTTGGGAATACGCCCTCAGTAATACACAAATTAAGTATGTGAGTCAGTGGTGGCGCTATTACGTCTTTTACATATTTAATTACTTTAGTGGATACACCATCGTAACCAACAGTACTTGTATTTTTTAGACTATTAATTGTTTTACTTATGTCTTGGTTTGATACAGGCGACATGAACAATGATTGTGATGTTGTAATAGAAGAATTTGATTTATGACTTGGTGGAATGCCATTTCTAATATTACTTTCAACGTCATCAATAAAATATTTGTTAAATTCATTTGCAATGTCTGTAGGATTTTCAATGATAAAATCATTTATTTTTATTTTTAATATGGACTTTTCTGGGAAACACGATTTGGAGTTTTTAATTATTTGCCAGGCAGCTTTAGCCTTATTGTCGGATGTATTAATATAATAGTTATTCTGTGCTTTTTGCGTTAGCTTCATTATTCTTTTATAAAACTTAGTGTAATTTTTTAAAATCTGTTTGTTTTTGTAATTAGGGTTGAAACGGTACATCCAAAGCAACTGCCTTTGTTTTTGACTGCAATATTTAATGCCGTGAGAAATCCATTTTACCAGTTTGTTACATTTAACAGTTATGATTTTATTAGGAAAACTTAGTTTATATAGAAGCAAAAAATCTTCCATAAAGTTGTCATAAGATTCGTTTGCATCATTTGTGTTGAACACTTGTGAAAACCATAGACATTCCAAACAAGATTTAAATTTTATTAAATTTTCGCCGGAGATTTCTTGTTTTTCAATTTTCCAGGATTTAAGCAGACTAGTTTTTTTAGTGGGAATTTTAAGTAATTGTGATGTGTGGTCAGAAAGAACCAAATCGATTACTTGTGCTTTACATCCCTTTTGAAAGTTGTGAGCAAAGTTATCAATGCACGTACTACTGCTTAGTCTAGTGGGCATGTAAAGTGCTAACTTTAAATTATACTGTAAAAGAAAAGATTCTAGTTCTAGGGCAATTTTGTTTTTCTTTAACACATTAATATTAAAATAGCCTGTAATGATTACTTTCTTCTTAGCAAAATTATTTTTTTTTAATATGTTATGTAGCTTTTCATAGAATACGCAATAATTTTGCTTAGGTACCCTGTAAATACAAATAATAATAATATTGTGCGGTATCATTTCTATTGCACAACACTCGAACACTCCTGAAACGGACTGTTTTGATATATCAGATATCTCTTTGTACACATAACCCACCCTAACAAAAATACATGTGCCCCCCCGCTTTACATTTCTTGAGAAGTGGGCTGCTAGACAATAATTGGGTATGTTTAGTAAATATTCATAACCCGATTCTACAAAATGTTCTGTAATACAGATGACATCTACGTTTATTCCTTTATGTGACAGCTCTTCTAATCTCACTAACAGGGCATCCGATTTATTAATTAGACCTGCAATGTTTTGATGCAGAACATTGAGGTAATTATAGAAAAAAAACGAGATTCCTCTTGTGTTTGGGTGTTTGAGAAACAAAGCGATTGAGCCTTTTGGGAGCAGTCAGCTTCCATTTGATCTATTGTCAATGTGCTTACATACAAAATAAGATCTACTAGATCTGATATCACAACTCTTATGCCCTTATAATTAAGATTTCCAAATAAATTGTATGTAAGTATCATGAGTGTAAGGCAAATTATAATTGGAGTCTAAAACATACGCATAATTATATGTTTCCACATCCAAACATAGCAAGTTGTTAAAGGTATCCACTCGGCTATTAAACATTACATTTGTGTGCTCCATATATTTAAATGTCGGTAGGCATATAATAAAATTAGTGTGTTGCAATGGCATAAGTATTTCGCGGATAAATGTAACAAGATTTATATAATTATGTGTTCTACGGAAATCCTCTTCACCAATATAAATAATACAAAAGTCAGAGTATGTGAAGTTTTCTACTTTTTTATCAATACCGTCCAGTAAAACCTTCAGACCACATTTAGGCATACGGTAGTGACATATTTCACTATTATGTAAATGAGCCTTTTCAATAATATTATATAAGGCAACATAATAATTAGAATAGTATATTGAACTATATTGTCCTGACCGAAATATAATGTTGTAATTATTATAGGCATGGAGACTTGTCCAAACCCATCAGGGGCCCTCGTAGTAGACGCTATGTACAGCAAAAATGGAAAGAGTTAACAGATATGCTCAATAGTGATGGCACGGGGGACTCTCTTACAGAGGAAATGTGGGCAAAGGTATGTTTCTTAAATCTTTATGTACCGTCAAAGAAGTAGACTTTGGAATGATCTTCCGGCGGCGGTATTCCCGAACCAATACGACCTTCAAACCTCCAAGAAACGAGCGTTTTCCTTCTTAAAAGGCTGGCAACACCTGTGACTCCTCTAGTGTTGCAGATGTCCATGGGCGGCTCCGATCCCTTACCATCAGGTGATCCGTCTGCTCATTTGCCACCTATTCCATAAAAAAAAGTAGACTTTCACTTCACACAAGTAGAAATTATATTTATTAATTTATTTATTTATTAAATAAATAAATAAATATAATTTATTATATAATTTATATTATATATGCATGCATTTTATGTTGGTGTTGGCAATCCTTCTTTTTTCTGATTTTTTTTTATGTTTATTTAGGTTTGGAGTGATTACAAAAATAATCTGAAGTACAAGTTGGCTAAAAAACATAGCGCAGCTCGGGGTACAGTTGGTTGGCCAGCACTTCTATTAACATTAACAGACCTTGAAAAAAGGGTTTTGAATATAATTGGGGTGCAGGCTGTTACTGGAATGCCCATACCAGAAGCTGGATTCACACAGGTGCGATAATGTGCTTTGCTTGGTATAATTTATCTATATATATTTGTTTAATTTATTTTTTCAAAATATATACCATATATTTTCAGAAAAATATAATAAAATGCCTTGTTAAAATTATCTGAATATTGTATTCCGTAACAAACTATGGTCAAAAGTTTCTTGCCAACTTAACTACCTACAGATTCCCTGAATATATAAAAAAGGGTCACCAACTAAAGATCTTTTTTGTTAGTAAGACACTTAAAATTCTTTTGAGGATGGTTGTTGAGTTCATTTAAAATGCTTTTTATTTTTAGCCATATTTTTAGTATTGCCACATTTGCGTATTTAAATTATGTTTCATGTTATTATAAAATGTCACTGAAATTTTATGTTACCTAGAGCAAATTTTTGAAAAACAAACATGTAAATGAAGCTTTCAATAATGGTAAATGTAAGTGATAATACTAAAGTTAAAATAGTTCATTTCAATCGGACCCTTATAGTCAAACAAAACTTAAAGATAAAAAGTGTCAGTCTGTCGGTCAGTCCTCTTAGTGAAACTATTTGCTCGTTTCAAAGTGTAGATTCCAATGGAGAAGAACAAGCACGAAACTCCATGGTTACTCTTTTTAATTCAGTTTCAAATACAGATTCTTTAGTACCTACATTATTAAGTTGATTTGAATATGTGAGAACAGTGTAACATTAAAATTGATAAAAAAAAAATATAGTAAATTATAATTAGCAGGCTAAATTATTGTTTTCAAAAAATTTAAACAGATTTATGGTGCCGAGGAAGGTAGCTTGCCAGATAAACGAGTACAAGTAGCGACAACTGAAACTGCAGTGATTGTGGGCGATGATCATGTAGAATCTACACCAATTCGTGAAGGTCGGATATTTTCAATATTTATTATCTATCATTAAGTTACTATTTTTTTTATTTTTTTAAATCACGTTGCGCGTCAATAGTATTTTTTCTCTAAGTCGTGATTGCGTTTACAAACATACAATTTTACATACACACCACACCCAGACACGGAACAACAATTTGTGGATCACACAAAGTGTACAAAGTACCTACCTACAGTTTATTAATGTCAATCGCGCGCAGTCAGCAGTTCCATACTGACTCAAACATTTAGTTTTAATATTAAAATTGTTGTAAGGTTATAGTTAACGATCGGTCGCCAACCAAAACGCGTTTGCGCATACCACTAACCATTACCATTTTAACCAATTTACCATATTCTAATTCATATTTATTTGTTGGATTTACGCTCAAAACAAAGATTTGTTCCGTGCCCAGCCACTGCGCCAACCGTGCACCTTGGTTACAATAGCGCATACCTCTTTAGTATGAAACAACTACTGTTAAAACAATTGTAATTTAAAATAAATAAAGTCTAATAAAAATGCAAGCAAGTCCAGATAACAAAAGCTAGTTGAATAGGTAGTATTTACATTGAAATATATTTTTTTCAGATATATGGAATACTCCAGGGACGAGTAGTCATCCCACCGTCGCACCTACAGCAGCTCCAATGCCATCTTATTCGAACCCACCCAAAAAAAAGAAGAAAGCAGAAGACTCACTTGTTACGATATTTAAAGAGTATGAGAGTAATGCTAGGCAGTATGAAAGAGAGCGTGATCGAATTGCAGAAGAGTTGGAAAGAGAGAGGATTAGACAGCGCGATGTAGAGCTTCAGTTACAAGCTCAATGGCTGGACTTTATGAAAGAGGCGTTAAAGGTATTAGTTGCATATTTGGAGAAATAAATTTTTAGTCCTGCAGAGGCAAGCTTCGGCACGAATGGGTCGGCTCGGCCCGGGCCCGGAGTTATACCACGGTCACAAAGAAAATCGGCGTGAAACAACTACAGCGTTGTGTTTCGCCGTGTGAGTGAGGTTACCGGATGCCCAATCTCTCTCCCTCTCTCCATCCCTTCCTAATCCTTAAATATGTGAAATCCTTATCCCTAAAAAGCCGGCAACACACTCGTAACTAACTCCTTTGGTGTTCCGGGTGTCCATGGGCGGCGCTGATTGCTTACCATCAGATAATCCGTCTGCTCGTTTGCCGACCTAAACCATAAAAAAAACAATTGATAGTCTGACCCTATTATTTCTTTTTTACAAATGTGTAACTATTAAAGTCTTATTTTCTAAAACTATGTGTATGTTAATTTTATTTATTATTGCTTCTTAACAAACTTTACACACACTTTTCAAGTAAATTCTCATAACAAACCTTGTAAACAAAACAAAAAGACAGACTATTATACTTATACAAGAAAGAAATATAATTATATATTATGTTGGAGTAAACTGTACCTAATAATGAAAGTTATATCTTAAAGGTTTGGTTGAATATAACTTATAAATAGTTCACATGGACCCTGTCGGGCACAGCAAAGTAAGTGGGATAGGAGAGAGGAAGCTGTTATCGGCTATGTTACTTATTTTTGTTGACTAAGACTAAGGTTATATAGGCAAGTAAGTTATATATATTTATGTTTAAAATTTTTTTTTTATTATTATAATGCTCAAATCCTTCATTATAAAATAACAACTACCGAAGTGAAGTCTGTTATTTGCTTTTTTTTAACTGCTCCACACTTGGTTTAATTCCTGTGTTGTGGGTACAATGTCAACTTACTTATTTTTGTTGTATTAGTTTTCTATCGCACAGAGGAAGCAGGTAGGCTTAATTTCTACTTTTGATCTGTCAATTGATTTGCTGCTATTGCTTTGTTTACGTTTGGTTATGCCGATTTCTCAGTTACTTTAGTTTCTCACCTACTTACAGCTAGAAAATCGTAATCAAAATAAATAATTGACTAATAATTGTAAATCAGATATACATTTATAGCAAAGTTCGAATCATAACAATAAATTCGATTATAGTCCAGGAGATAGGCGTTAATTTTTAATGTTGTTTTGGTGTTTCTTTTAATTATAATATTTTAGTCACTTTATTCATTTTTAGGGGTCCGCACCTCAAAAGGAAAAACTGAAACCTTATTTATTTATTTAATTTAATTATATTTTATAAAGAGTCACACCTCACAAACCCTGTACCCAGACAATACAAGTAAAAATAAAACTTCCAGACCCTTGCCAATTTATAGGCAATGAATTAAAATTTTGCTAAAAGTGACAACCCTAAGACAGTAGGCAATTATATACCCTACTGCCTTCTCCTTATACTATGATCTGTTGGCCTACCATGACGTGTTAAAGCGTCTATCTTCCGGGCGAGAAGGAGGGATGGAGCTATAAATGGTGTGTAGCTCCTCTTCGTGTGTAGTGTATAGCTCGTCATGGTAGGCCCTCTGCAGCTGCAATGTACGACGAACACACGGTTTGCGTGAAAGCGGTCTTTGAGCCCTAGACTATTTTTCTTCTTCTTCTAACACTTTACGGACTTAGAAAAAAAAATTGTAATAAAAATATACAACAGCGACTAAAGAAGATAGACTGACGTCTCTATTGACTTTATTGCCGATGTAGAGGTGTAGGGGACTATTTGTGAGGGGAAAACCATCAAATGACTTCTGGAAGTGTCAGATTCTACCTGACGAAAACCCCCCATTCCTTCTCCTGATCCAGGCCGCCGCGGCGGCGCCTCATTGCGCTTGCCCCGCAAACCCGGCTGAACATCAGCATAGGGCTGATGTAGTCCTCACAATGACGACACTCGGGCGTTTCCTCTAGCAGGATCCGAAACAGGAATCTACCGAAGCTGCCGTGCCCGGTAAGCACCTGCGTCAGGTGGAAGGTGAGGACGCCGTGGCGTTTCTCAAGCCACTCCTCGAAAGAGGAGTCTTACCGCTGCTATAACAGCGGGCCTGGCCATCGGTTGCGACAATCGTTGCTTCCACTCTGCCATGAGATGACACAGGAGCTCATTGCGCCACGCACTAAAATGGCGCGGTTGAGGATCCTCGCCCGGCAAAGCGCGTCTGGGGGCAAACTGTAGACGCGAGCTTTAGGGGATGGATTCTCGTTTTATTCACCCTTGGGTTGGTACATCATGCAGGCTCAGCCGTTAAGTTTATTAAATTTGAATGATGACCGGCTTTAGTTTAGAGCTGCCGCGACTAAATAGTATTCCATCTGTAAAGGAACTACCCTCAAGTAATAATTATGCACATAGCTCAATGGGATTTTATTTTAATCGATCCAATGACGTACAAAATAATTCTAATACCATAAAATAACCAAGAAACGCCATACATGCTTAACAAACGATTTTAGCCAAAAATATAAATTGAGAACCTGATCTCTCCTCTCTAACATAATATGTAATAGTGTTTTCGATTAGTTTGTGGCTGGTCCCCATAGAGAAGTTACGCTGATCATTAAAAGCAAGAAGGGGATGGCCAGAGTCACCCGAATGCTGTACACTGAGCTGGTACCATTAATCTGAAACACAGAATTTCCTATCATAAAAGAGCATAGCCAAATTATCAACATTGGTACTTTATTCTAACCGGTATTTAATGCGCACGTAGGTACCTTTTTATTTGTTTCGGCAGGGTTACACCTGCCGTGGGCACAAGCAGACTGTTCGACGATACTACTCCGTTGATGAAGGTGATTGAAGGGTTTTTATCTAGCCTCGATGCATGTTGATAAATGGTACGTGCGCGTTAAATCCCGGTAACAAATAATGTAAACAAACTTTCGCGGTGCATATAATAAAGTCAGTATTTGAATGCAACGCGAAAGTTTGAAGTACCTATAATTTACTAGCTTATGCCCGCGACCCCTTTCGCGTGGAATAGTGACTTCCTGCAGATTTTTAGTATAAAAACTATCCTACGTCCTTTCTCGAGTTCCAAACTATGGCTGTATCAAATTTCACAGAAATCGGTTCAGTAGTTTAGGCGTGAAGAAAAGACAGACAGACAGAGTTACTTTCGCATTTATAATATTAAGTTTGGATATTTGAGATAATATTGATCGTGACACGATGGTTGTAGGTAGGGCAACTGTACATAAAATATACAGCTAAAGATAAAAATAATATTAAATAAGTAATTATGTCTGTGTTTACTCAAACTTGTCCAACGGAAGCCTAACTATCGAGAGCTACTGATCTAAACATGTAAACACCATCCAGCTCCTTGCCATCCTGATATGACGACGAGGTCATTTCGAAAAATTAGCTACATAAATAGTAAGTAGTCACATACATGTTGTATCGTGTATATAATCCAATTGGTGTATTTGGAAACCTTAGTAAATACTCCGGGATATTGTGCTTCCGCACATCCTACACCCCATGATGTAATCCCAACCACTACCCCATTGTAGAGGAGAGGACCACCGGAATCACCAAAACAAGCATCTTTCCCTGCAAACAAGAGCGAAAAATACTTCAATGAAATATAAATGTGAATTTTCAAATTACGCCAACTTTTTTCACGATAGTTACGATTTAGGTATACGAAAAGTAGATCCACGGGCGAGGCCCAAGACTTATGTTCAGCTGGGGTTGCGGCACAAGCGCAAATAAGTACCGCGGCCTCGGCCTAGAGCAGGAGACGGAATGGGATGGTTTTTAGTTTTTAGTCAGTAATAGTCTGACATTCCCTCCCATCCCTTCCCAATCCTTAAATAACTGAAATCCTTATCCCTAAAAGGTCGGCAACGCACTCGTAATTCCTTTGGTGTTGCAGGTGTCCATGGACGACGCTGATTGCGTACCATAAGGTAAACCATTGGCTGGTTTGCCGATCCATTCCATTAAAAAAAACAGGAATTCAAACCCAATACAACAGTGCATGCCAACAGTAATTTTTTATAGAATCCAATATATATGTTTTTTGTTTTTATAATAATAGATACATATATGTTCTTGCGCGGAACGCGCCGTACACTACTAGGGATACTTAAACACCTCCACCACCCTCACACCCCGTGCAGGAGACGAGGTCCGTAGGCCAGCATTAGGGTGGGGTTGCGAAAGAATGTGGACTCCCGTAACCCCACGCGCGGGGAGACACCGGGGTGGTTTTAGCCCCGGCCTTTTCCCGGATGGAGGAAGTCCATGAGGATTTCCCGTCGTAAAAAAAGCACGGCTAACTATGCACGTCGTTTGCACAACTGCGATAGCCGGATGTTGTCACGCTATCCTCGACGTTGAATACTTACATTGTTACATTCAATATTAACGGTGAGCTTCAAGAAAAAATGAAGAAATAACGAAACAAGGTTGCTATAAAGAATATATGTTAATCTACCTCCAACACCTTGAATCCCAGCACACATCATGTCGGTTTTGAAGAGGTTTAAGAATGTGGCCTCTCGTTCCACCATTGCATAATTTTTCTCACATATTTCCCAGTTGATCGTTTTAATTGCCACCTCGTTCAAAATATATGATGGGAGTTTGGAATTAGGCTGCAGTTGTTACCATAGAAAAAAATATATACTTTAATATGTAGACCTTTGAAAATAGTGTGGGAGAGGATTTTATAAAGTCGACCCTTTTTATGAAATTCGATAATATTTTAAATGTAGGTGAAGCAATCAATAGGTATTTTGGACTTAGGTTTTTTCAAGAAATTTTATGTTATTTATATAATTTTTACAGTACTTACATTAGTCGTACCCCATCCTACAACTATGACTGTGGCATTATCAGGCACAGAAGCTCCTTCCTCCGGTATATTGACTGTAGCGACATTGGAACTCAAGGTGACATCAGTCTCGAGCAGAAGAACTGATATATCGTAGCCCCAGGCAAGCTGTTTAGATTTATAGTTTTCGTGGAGTACTATGGCTGATACTTGATGTTCTGTTCCTGAGTAGTTATAATTTAATTTTAATTTTATTTAGATCGGAAAACATCAGCACACAGCATTATTAACAACTAACATAGACAATTTTTTTTTAAACAATAACAATAGACAATTTTTAGGTGTTTGGTGACTGGGCTTCTCACAGTTGTACAGTCGCTTCTCGCAGTGCGTTTAAGGTTTAAGTCATTCTGTCTCCTGCAGAAATTTACCTAGTGAAGTGAAACCTATTCCAAGATAATCTATGAATTGCCGAGTAGGGACAAGAAATCGATGGTCTCGCGACGGTAAAGCTTCGAGGTACATAAGTGAACACGCATTGCGGTGCCATCGTAGTCACCGCCGTAGATGTAACGAATGCAAGTAATAGATCGTTATAAATAGTAATAAATTGTTATATCGTGGTTATCGGCCCAGTACATCGATGCTCGTCCCTTCTGGACCTTTGAAGACATCTTGAAGTTTTTTATTTCGTCGATGCATGCCTAAACCTTACAGTGGAAGCTTATGCTTGAAGCTGGTCCCAGTCTAAACGCTAAGATGTTCCAAATTACACATTACCTAATACAGTCCATACACTTCGTCATCACAAAGAACCAGAGACCAGAGACCTGGTTCACAATTTTAGGTAGGTAGCCTTAGTAGTACCGTACAATTGCCATCAGATTAACAGCTACAAGTTTGATGACTGCGATGTCGTTTATTACATAGATTAGGCCGTTAATTGAATGACTAGGTACTTATATAATTGGCTGCCTAATGTGACCCTCGTTTAAAATGCCACCTGTTTATGTGAATCTATAGAGAATTATGGGACTTGCCAGCCACAACTTCCTAAAACACCGAAAAACTGAAGTCTCAAGCATTGTGATTCTGTAGGACTTGATTCTAAACTTCGAATCTGAATCTGAATAGTAGAACACTAGCGCTACACTTGCGAGTTGAACTAAATTGACCGCAACATATTGATAGATAAAGTATGAGATGACGTTAAAAGTGGCATTCTAAAATTTAATTACCCCGTCACTTCGAGGCTCACTTCACACTCGAACAAGATTCAAAATCAAACAAATTTTATAGAATCGACGTGAAGGACATGAATTAATGATTGTCTTGGACCCCGCAACGATATAAATCAGAAGATATTATTTGAGGAGAAGAAAAATTTTAATATTTCGCTATTTAGGAATTAGTAATCATCAGAAAATCATACCTGCATATAATTTTGTTCCGCCGACATGAACTGTGAATAGTTTTGGGTTTTTAAGGATTCCAAGCCTATAAATATATACAAATAGTTATGACACAAAAATTCTTCACTTTTTAATATAACAATATTAAAAAAAAGTTATAATAAATACGCAAGGCCGCTTGTGACAAGCTGTGGGACAGTGGCGACCCCACGGACCTGACTTTCGGGAGGTGAACAAGCTCTCCTATCTCATTATTGCCATAATTGGCTGGCTTGAGTGGAGATTCGCAAGGGTAGGATATGAAGGAGACTCGGTGGATGTATCTCGGTAAAATGCTGGTAGGGGTCTTGACCGTACTTCCGGGATTGCTCTGATAGCCGTGGGATGCCTCTCCTTCCACAAGCAGCTCAAACACGGGAGCATGTTGCCCCAGTGTCGCTACATGCTAGCGGCCGTTCCCGGGGGCAAATAAATTGTGTTTGCCAGTCACCCCCTGCCTGTTAATCCATATGTATCAATATGGGTCAGGGACAGGGGCTATTATAGGGGCTAGGGGTATTTCCATAGTTATCCACCAGTCCATAGCAACCCATTCCTACGTATAACCCTATCAATTTTTACCATATTTCACAATAGTACTCCGTCAACCGGGGATTATCCTTGGGTGCACTTTTATAGTGCATACAGAGATAATTGCCGGTTGATGTCCCATTTCACTTATATTTAAGTGGTTCAAAGGGCCTCTACGAGTTGGCTTCGGCCCCTCGTACGCCTTCCAAAAGTCCGGGAACCTGTGGTCCCGTGAGTGGAAAGGAACATACATAAGTTATAATAAATAATTTATTATACATATAATACTTCCTCTTCAAGGATATAAGGACAGAGAAAGCGACTTTGTTTTAAACTATGTAGTGATAGTGATGAAGATCATGAGTAGGGTACCTTATAGATACAAAATAGCAAGGGAGAGACGAGATACTTTGGCAGTCGGTGCGAATGGGCTTACTGGATTGGAGTGATACCACGGCCTCACATAAAACCAGCGTGAAACAAATATAGCGTTGTGTTTCACCGTGTCAGTGATGTTACCGGAGGCCCCATCCTTCCCCTCCCCCAATTCCTAAATCTCCAAAACCCTAATCCTCAAAAGGCCAGCAACGTGCTCGTAATTTCACCGTTATTGCGGGTATCCATAGGCGGCGATGCCTGCTTTCCATCAGGTAATCCTAATCCATATATAAATAAAATAAATAAATCTAAATCCATAATAAACTCGAGACTGTCTAAAGTTGCTGTCCCTGAGGTTCATTTCTTTTTCGGATCCTTTGGTTAAACACTAGTTTTACACTGTTCTCACATAATAGAACTATCTAAATTATGTAACAATGCATTGTAAAAAGTGATTGAAAAAGAGTAACCATGGAGTTTCTTGCTCGTTCTTCTCCATAGGAATCTACACTTTGGAACGAGCAAATAGCTTCACTAGAGGACTGACGGACAGACTGACACATATAAAGTTAAACCTTATGATATCTTTTTTGCTTGACGTTCAAAAATGCCTTTTTTGGTCTATTTGAAATAATGAATTTGATTTGAATCCGTCTGACCGTTTGCCGTCTTGTCTCATATACCTGAATTTAAATTTGATCGTAGCGCCACTATTTTCTGAGCATTTTGGCTAAACATTGGTTGGAGCAACCATTATCTATAAGTACAAACGATATTGTAAAAATTGAATTTCAATTAAGATATTTTGAATTAGATTCTCACGTGCGTGATGCATAAAAACGAAAAAATATATATGAAATTGGAAGTAAAAATGTATTATACAATACACCTCTTCCCAATTTTTATTTTGTTATGCCCGAAAGGGTCCACATTGTCAAAGTCAAAGTCAAAATCATTTATTCCAACTAAACCATAAATAGGTACTTTTGAAACGTCAAAACAGAGAAGCAGTCTGTCAGTCTGTTCGTCAGTGAAGCTAGGTACTCATTCCAAATTGTAGATTCGAATGGAGAAAAACGAGCAAGAAATTCCATTCGTTACTCTTAAAAAAAATTGTTTTACAATTTCAATAATATAACATTTATAGTATAAATTATTGTACCCTTATGTGAGAACAATGCAGAGACAAGTTGTTAAAAAAAGAACAAATGAGGGGACCTATCATAAAATATCCATGCAATGATCCTAAGCATGAACTTTTAAGTTAAGGCAACCCTACCTACGTTAATATTGTGAAATGCAATTAATGAATTGAGTATTGAGTAAACTCTCTCATGTACTTACGTATTTTCGAAACAATGAGCCGCAGATAGCACATGTCGCAGCGTCAAAAGAGAACCTCCGCACAGGAATCTATCCGGCAAGAAAATCTGTGAATAGGTCCATTCCGTTAATGACAACAGTAAGTACCTATGTGCATAAACTAAAAATAACGTAAAGTCACGCTAAAAGCGGATTGACGCTATTAAAATCAAGCTTGTATTTAAATACGCTTTTTTTGTGAGGGGAAAATCATCAAATGACTTCTTCCGCCCAGGGTCGGGCGAGAGGGAGTGTCAGACTCTTTCTTACTGACTAAAAGCCCCCCTGTTCCTTCTCCTGCTCTGGGCCGAGGTCGCGGTGCCTCATTGCGCTTACCCGGCAATCCCGGCTGAACATCAGCCCCAAAGGGTGTCTAAGCCCTGTCTCTGGTCGTCTATTGGCTCTGAGGCGCGCGCGGAACGCTACGTGCCGTACGCTCGTATATACATATATTTTGTTTTTTATTTATATAAAATTATGAAATAATAATAATTCACACCTCCTTAACACCGAGACCTGTTGTTTCAGTTTATAAACGTTAAAAAAATTGTAATGTTGCTATAATAAAAATATCGTAAGACCGCAACAACAACGAGACTATTTTTGTAAATTTTCTGTTGGAACTACTTACTGACCTGGACTACAAAAGGGTACTGTTGTATACTGGTGGGTCTGCCTCCAATAATGCGGTCGTTCGAGAATTTTGGCAGTGACACTGGCATAATGGAGTATTTTTCCTCTGCACGGCCTGACAAATATATGTTTAAATAAGATTGCATATTCTTACTTTAAAACTGTTTCATGTTAACATAATATAATTACGCGGGTATTAATGCAGACTGTCTGCTTGCGACCACGACCTGTGCAACCAGGTCGAAACTACTAGTTATACTACATATAAACTAGTTTTCGTCGTCTTACATTTTTAAAATATTATAACTACTTATAATGTTTGTGATATCACTATCTAAACGTAAAATGAATGGAACTTACAGCCAATGGCCAGAAATAATAATATTATACACCACATTCCTGTAAAAATGTATTATTTTCGAACTGTGACAAGCGAATGACGGACCCTTACCGATCTCTCATATCGACTTTACGTTGGACGAATGGTTGCAATTTTAATTGCGACACGCTAGGCTAGACAAAGTACTTACAATATACAATTAACTTTGAGAATACACACACAGTCTCACAGAAAACCGACCTGAAACATCGCATTTCTTTGAGAGGTAAGCATCATCGCGTTTCTTAAGTCTGGGAGAGCCAAGCTTCGGCACGAATGGGTCGGCTCGACCGGAGTGATACCACGGCCTCATAAAATACCGGCGTGAAACAACCCACAGCGTTGTGTTTCGCCGTGTGAGTGAGGTAACCGGAGGCCCAATCCCTCCACCCGCCCACGCCCCCGTTCCTTCTCCTGCTTTGAGGCCGAGGCCGCAGTGACTTCCTTGAGGCCTGAGCCAACGCTACTGGATGGTGTTACTCAAGTCTAATTCTTCCCAAACTAACTAACTATGCCCAAATTTCCAATCTTGAAGATTCTAGAAGATTAAGATCTAACAACCTGCTTAAGACCGGCAACTAAGGTAAGAATAGATGCACAAAAAAAAAACAACTTTTCTTCGAAAAAAGCGTTTAATAGCATGAACCTTCTTATTTAGAGAAAGTCTAGTTCGGTAGTGGACTGTCACTTCACTGCAAGTTTCTTCGAAAATCGGGGCGTATATGAGGATGGATAAAAAAATCGCAAAATCGCAATCAATTTTCGCCTTATATTAAATAATCCTTACACTTCTTTTTTGCATACAATCTATGTGGCTATGGCCACTTCACTGTGATGGTGGGCCCTAAAGAAGCCATTTTGTTCGGCCATGGTACGACGTGGATTAGCAAACTGAAGTGGCAGTGGGCAGGTCACATCCGTCGACGAACCGATGACTGCTGGGGTAAACGTGTTCTAGAGTGGAAACCACGTCTAGGCAAACGTAGTGTAGGGCGCCCTCCAGCTAGGTGGACTGACGACATCCGCAGGGTGGCTGACAGTGGTTGGATGAGAAGAGCTGAACATCGCTCAGTGGCGTGCAATTGGGGAGGCCTATGTCCAGCAGTGGACGACAACAGGCTGATAATGATGATGATGATGATGATGATGGTACGACGTGAGGGGAAGAGGACAAGGCAGTCACTACCACTTACAGGGGTCAAACTGAAAGTTCTCAGTTTTTTTATTATTATTTAGTTGTGAAGAAAACTTTAAACTATTAAGGTTTTTATATAAAACTATTGCAACCACTCCATTGAATTATCGATTTTATAATCTAAAAAATAAAATGAAATCTCTTTTATTTTGTAATGGGTAGGCGTCTGGCCGCTATTGGGCCTGGTGGTAAGCAATTACGCGACCATCGTATGGAGCACGCCTACCCATAAGCAACCTATTCACTCGCGCCTTGAAGGCACCCAGGTTGTAGTACCCTTCGTAGAACACACATACCAGCAAAAGATTCCTTACCTTGATGGTGGAAAGGACAAGGGGGAAACAAGGTGTGGGGCTCCTCCGAACATTCTTCAAAAGACAAAAAGCCTTAGCCTGCCACTACTCGTACTACTGGTTACTACTACAGCCGGGAGCCATCAGAAAATCATCAAGTATTTTCTCCCAAAACGGGAGAAGACAGTTGATGATTTCCCCCCCCCCTAAAAAACCATCTTTAATGACCATTGTGAAACTGATCTTAGGAGTAAATTGTAGCTTTTTAAATAGAAAAGGGAGATCTGCGGGAATTCTTAGGATGGAATGAATTTCAAAAAAATAAGTCGTGGTGGCTCGGAGCTTAAAGTGCCTGGCAAGGGTTCAAAATCTGGCAAGTACCAGTGCGTCGTTTTTTGTACTTTCTATGATTATTTAGACACCACTGATAAACGGTGAAGGTAAACATCGTGAGGAAACCTGGACTTATAATTTCTAAATATAAGATTGAAATTGTCAACCGGCATTAAGCAAGCGTGGTGATTAATGCTCAAACCTTCTCCGTGTGAGAAGAGGCCTTTGCTCAGCAGTGGGCACTTATGGGCTGATGATGATGATGATGAATTATATTTTTTTCCTTTTCCTGCGTTCAGGTAATGATGTAGTTACGTTCTACTTGTGGGACGCGAAGTCTCGTATCTCGGAGAATCCACGTGCAGCATGACTGGGTCGCCCTTTTCGTTATAGTTAGATTAAATGTTTTATTGTTGGTTTCTTTTCATTATTCGTTAGTACCATCATCATCTATTCTCTCTCTCACACATACAAATTTCAAAGCCGCTCACCTCCTATTGGTTGCGACCAATAGCGATGATGTTTTATAGCCCATAGCCCTCTTCGATAAATGGACTATCTAACGCAAAAGTAGTTCCGGAGATACACGTGTTCAAACCAGTCTTTAGCTTTATAATATGGCTGCATGGCTGTATATGACTGTATGGTTGGTGCGGTGGCTGGGCAACTGGCTGCCGTTCAACGTGTCGCGGGTTCGATTCCCGCACGAAACAACTCTTTGCGTGATCCACAAATTGTTGTTCCGAGTCTGGGTGTCATGTGTAAGCATCAGCGCCACCTATGGACACCCGCAACAACGGAGGAGATACGAGTGCGTTGCCGACCTTTTGGGGATTAAGGTTTCGGGGTTTTGGGGATTGGGGAAAAGGAAGGATTGGGCGTCCGGTAACCTTTCTCACATGGCGAAACAACGCGGTCTTTTTTTTATTAAATAAGGTACATCAACAATATACAAAAAATACATTTTCTTAATTTTATGATGACTGAGACAGAGTTCTTGTATGTATATCTTTAACAGATGTACACATCACTTACCGTATGTGAAGATAAACATAAGTTTTACGTCGGTTTTCTGTTATACTACATACCACATCACTCCGGTCGAACCGACCCATTCGTGAGGACGTGCGGAAGCATGGCTCTCCCACCATTATAATATCTCCCACAAAAAATAAAATAAAAAATGTATCTTATTTTAATTGTAATCTTTCTACATTTTAATTATTTAAAATTAAGTTTTCTTTTGTTTATATTGTTTTGTGATAGTGTACTTACCTACTGTGTTTTTTGTTTTTAAGTAATTCATTTTCCTGTATCAGGTCTTCAGGAAGAAATTCATTTTTCAATATGCAGTCACTTTGTAGGTAGGTTATTATATGTATTGTGTGTAAATGTTTATTATTTAGTAGAATTAAGACAAATATAATAAATAAATAAATATATATTTTTCCAAAAGTAATATAAATGTGCACTTTGTGACCCTCGCTTTGGCGAGAGCACGGATATGAGGTCATGCAGACGTCAGTAATTTTTTCTTATCTTAGTATAGTTAATAATTGGTACACTGTCAGTATAAAAAACCTAAATTCTTAACGTGGACGCTTGAAGGTAGCCCGCGAAAATTTATAACTTTTTAATATGGTTTTTACAACATCCTTTTTTTAGTATTAATTTTTTGACCCGATATACGACCCTATACACAAATTTTCTTAAAATCTCATTTTTTTTCTGAATGAGAAATTTAGCCATTCAATCAAACGACTAATCATTGAGGCCGTTGGTTGCATGGCTATTTCAACCATTTGGCTGCAACATAAACTTAACAATTTTGTCGTTTGAAGTTTTACACCCGGTTTCTGAAAGGCTTGTCAACGCTAAAATTAACTAATCTCCTCATAAATCTCTTGTCAAGTCATCTGATTGGTTGTTGATAATTCAGTCAACCAATCAGATGACTTCACACGAGATTAAATTGATTTTAACATTGATCGGCCTTTCGGAAACCGGGTGTTAAATACTTGTACCTATGTAATGACATATATATCATTTACACAATTACAGTTATTGAAATAATCATTATAACATCAAAACATAAAAAAATGAGCTAACTTGACTGTGTGAAACTTTTTAAAATTTCAGTGTAATGTTTTTGAGCTAGTCTACAATAATTGTAGACTAGCATTTGTCCGCGACTCCGTTCGCGTGGAACAGTGGCTTCCTGCAGATTTTTGGAAATTAAAACTATCCTATGCTCTTTCTCGAGTTCCAAACTATGACTGTACCAAATTTCACAGAAATCGGTTCAGTAGTTAAGGCGTGAAGAAAAGACAGACAGAGTTACTTTCGCATTTATAATAATTTTTAGTTTGGATAGCATGAAGAATTATGAAAGAACATAGTAAGTACATTATTACAAACGATAAGTAAATAAAATGTTTTATCATTATACACTACAGATAGCACTGCTACGTTATCGATAAAAAAACTGAAAAAATGTATTTTTTTATGGAATAGGAGGCAAACGAGCAGACGGATCACCTCATGGTAAGTGATCGGCGCCGCCCATGGACACCCACAGCACCAGAGGATCGCGGCGTGCCGGCCTTTTAAGAAGGCTAGTATTTGGTTTTATTTACTTTTAAACTTGATTTTTACATTTTCAAATATTATCAAAAAAAAAAGGAAATCTCTTAAAAATATAAAAAGCTGTATCCCGCCGGTTACGGTAGGGTTCCAAGCAACCGGTGGTCAGAGGTCCAGGAAAAGTAATCTCCGGACAATGCGCGCCATGTCTAGAAGTACAGCGTTCTGCATCAGGTTCTTGATGTTTTTTAGGTGTTTATCGAGGCTTTTAGTCATGAGACCATTGGCAGACACGACTATCGGCACAATTATTGCTGAGTCTACATCCCACATGTCGACATTCTCATGAGCTAAATCAAGATATTTAATATTACTACTATATACTACTATAATATTAATTTTATTACTCTCGCTTTTTGTATATGGGACTACCGCCGCTGGAAGATCATTCCAAAGTTTTTCGTGTGTAAAACTATTCGGGGGCTACCTTCATGCCTTTACATCAAAATTACAATGGCGACTCTCTAGATGACTTCTTAGCTTCTAGGCGATGAGTATTATATAGAAGAAGGGTAACAGCAGAGTGATTCGGATCCCACTGACCGAGCTGGCACCATTGAAGCGGTTAATCTGTAACAGATTATTGTTTATCTTTAAACAGAATTTTAAACTGTCCGAATTATGTACGAACTATTTTTCAAACGTTGCCCCACATTATGATTTTCTCCTATGTCGTGGGTACGTTTACAAACATACAATTTTACATACACATCACACTAAGACCCGGAACAACAATTTGTAGATCACACAAAGAGTTTTCCCGTTCGGGAATAGAACACGCGCCACGTTGCGGGGCCACCGCACCAACCGTGCAGTTAGGAACTTATGCAGAAGACGCTGCCAACCATGAGAAAAAAATAGTACCTATAATTTATACTTAAAGAGGTAAAATTTGTAAGTTTGTATGTAGCGGGTAATCTTTCCGCTAACCGCTGCTGGTCGGATTGCCAAAATTCTTTCACTGATAGATAGCTACAATGTTCCTGACTGCTATAGGCTATAAAACCTCACCCAACAGCGCGGTAGTAGCTAGCTGTGTGTAAAAAGATAGAAGGGAGGGAAAAAAATCGTAAAATATGCTGGTGTCTATGCGAATAACTCAACAACGCATGGTAAAATTTTGCCAATCCTTTTTTTTTGTTGTGTTTGTTATTGTCAGGAGAACGTGAAGGAAATTTTTGAAATTAGTAAAGTACAGGAAGAGTATGAGAATGCCTTCGATTTAGAAATTTCTGAACACCAGTGGTTCTCTGTAATAAAACAAATAACAGACACTTTATGCCAGAGAACCGAGAAACACACATCATAATTAACAAATAAGATGACTTCGTCTGGGTTCTTGATGAGTAGTTTACCCCGGCCTGAAGGCAAGGATGTTTAACCAGTGTGTACACGAAGTGTGAGACTTCAAAAAATACGCGAAAATTTCCTATAGGTATTAATGCAAAAACCATTCAAAATTTATAACAGCCGTTTTGCTAACCGATAATAAGTTTACAACATAAGCTGATAAGATAGCTGTTAATAAACTTAAATGGATACATTTATTTGGTTAATACCACAATGCTTTTTCCGATATACATACATGATAGCAGTGTACACTTCACTGAGTGCCATGGTTCGGTACGAATGGTCCGAATCGACGGGAGTGATACCACGGCTCCCAGAAAAACGACGTGAAGCAATGCTTACGTGGACTGTCGCTGTGTGACTGATGTTAATGGAGGCCAATACCTTTCCTCCTCAGAACAGCGGGTGAAACCGCGCGGAAGTAACTAGTTTAGTAAAAGGCCCATGTTTTTCCCTTACTCGAAACGTCAGCATATCTGGTATACTCAGCTGCAGAGAAAAGGATCCCCCTATGCAGATAGCTGCATTCATCTTTGTACTTCAGGGGGTCAACGCATTTCAAATCAAAAAATTCTTTTTCAAAAATTCTTCAACACTCCTGTCGATTCGGACCATTCGTACCGAACCATGGCAGTCCAATACTGGTAGAAGGTGATGGGTGTTACTGATTGCTTGGGTACCTACATGACTTGACATGCTTCCTTATTTTTTTTTAAGGAACAGATAAACGTCCTTTCCTCGTCGAATTAAAAAATAATAATTATACAACGAACAGGATTTCTGCTTCTACTGATATAGAGTTTATTTATTTGCTCGGCTCGGTAATTTCATTCAGTAAGGGTTGATAGTTATCATATAGGGGCCTTTTAAGACCTTTGTCGGTTAGTGAGGTGACCGGAGGCCCAATCCTTCTCCTCGCCCAATCTCTAAATCTCCAAATCAAGATTGGGGCAAAGCGTGTAAAAAAGTACAAAAACTTCTCTTACCGTATTGTTGATCCAAGTGGTATAGCTGGAGACCCTGGCATACACTCCAGGGTAGTCCGCCAGCGCGCATCCCGCCCCCCAAGAAGTAACCCCTACGACTACGTCCCCGTAGAGTAGAGGACCACCGGAATCACCTTGGCACGCATCTTTACCTGTAAGCACGCGTCATTATCATTATTACCCTCTTATATGTTTTTAAGTGTTCAATAGTAAGTATTGTATAAGGACATAGTATATTATATATGACGGCGCTGGCGACTGATTATGGATTATTTTTAATAACAAAGAATTGAATTATCTTTAACAAAGAAGAAGATTGTATTATCTTTACAGTTGATTGTTAATCATAACTCAATTTTTAGTTTATTGGTAACATTATTATGAGCGGGTAACCCCGAATAGGGTAGTAAGTGTCACTACGAGGAATGGCAGCGGGCATGTGGTTGACAGCTGCGAGCCGAAGTGTACACGCTAACCTATTGGCTCAAAATCTCATTCCATCTTATTGATTGTGTGATTGTGAATAAAATAGCGAGGAAACCAAATAATACAAGCGTGCCTTTATTTTGAGTTCCGGTCGTTACAACGCCCACGATAGATAGTGACAACCATGACCGCCACGAGGCTCCTACTGACGCTCCCACATATACAATGTTTTATATAATAATTATACTAGCGGCTCGCCCCTCCTTCGCACGTGTATCTAGCTAACGACGCAAGGCCCTATTGCACAGATCTTCCCTCTACTTTCCAGTAGGTAGGGTAGGTAGGGTAGGTAGGGTAGGTAGGGTAGGTAGGGTAGGTAGGGTAGGTAGGGTAGGTAGGGTAGGTAGGGTAGGTAGGGTAGGTAGGGTAGGTGGGGCAGGTATGGTAGGTAGGTTAGGTAGGGTAGGTAGGGTAGGTAGGTATAGGTAGGGTAAGTAGGAAAGGCAGGGTAGGTAGGAAAGGCAGGGTAGGTAGGGTAGGTTATTACCCTCTTATACATAAGTTTTTAAGTCTTCAATAGTAAGTATAAGGTATAAGGACATAGTATAATAAATACATGTTTTATATAATTATACTAGCGGCCCACCCCTGCTTCGCCCGTGTATCTGGCTAACGACGAAAGGCCCTATTGCACAGATCTTCCCTCTACTTTCCAAAATTTCTACTTTGGTAGGTAGTGGCAGGTAGGTAGAGTAGGTAGGGTAGGTAGGGTAGGTAGGGCAGGTATGGTAGGTAGGGTAGGAAGGGGAAGGTAGGGTAGGTAGGGTAGGTATGGTAGGTAGGGTAGGTAGAGTGGGTAGGGTAGGCAAGGTAAGGTAAGGTAAAGTAGGGTAGGTAGGGTAGGTAGGTTAGGTAGGTATAGGTAGGGTAGGTAGGAAAGGCAGGGTAGGTAGGGTAGGTAGAGTGGGTAGGGTAGGTAGGAAAGGCAGGGTAGGTAGGGTAGGTTGAGTGGGTAGGGTAGGCAAGGTAAGGTAAAGTAGGGTAGGTAACGTAGGATAGGTAAGTAGAGCGAATAGGGCGCTAAAGGTAGGTTGTAAAATGACGGAAGCAAAGCCGCATGTGAGAGCTAGTTTTATATAATAGGTCTTTACCTATGAAATTGCCGTTTTGCATGAAAAAATTTAAACGAATTTTTTGATTTGGAATGCGATGAAAATGTAACACTAATCAATAAACAAATTACTACTTTTGGAAAAAGAATCCCATGTTTTTAAAACAAAATTAATTAGCCTTAGCCTAACAAAAGCTATTTTGATTTGAAATTTGACGTTTCAAAAGTACCTGTTTATGGTTTAATTGGAATAAATGATTTTGACTTTGACTTTGAAATTTCATGGGTAAAGACCTATTATATACATATTTAATAATGTTAGTATATAATGGATAAACGCAATTTGTTATTGGTGTGAATCATCAAGATACGATTTGACTGATATTCAACAAACAAGTCGGTACTTATTTGAGTATTATGATTTATATTATAAGATTACATTATATGAGTACAAAAATTACTGTTATCATAAAGTTTAATAATATCAGTTTTGCTAAATACTTACCGAATGTGTGTAACTTATAAAGAAGTTTATATGACAAATAATATTGATGATTTAACTTATTTTTTTTTTAAGTAAATTTTCATATTGTCTGACTTTTTAACCCTTCCTAGATATAATTCAAAATTAACTAAATCGGTTTAGCCGTTCTCGAGTTTTGGAGAGACAAACCAACACATTTTTTTATATACAGGTACTTATAACTAGATAGACTGCTGCCACATCCAGTCATTTTAAGTCCGTGAGTTTGGCCTGGAGCAGTTCGGACCGGGGTGGTTAGTCAGTAAGAGTCTGACACGCCGGGTCGGACAAATGTCTCTGATATAAACGGTGCCGGCGTAAAGGCAACTGACATTTCGGGCGAAAATATTGTGGCACCCACTTGAGGAAAGCGATATCAAGTGTTAGTTTTTAGCTATTGATATCGTTAGAGTCGGTCCTTGACCACAAACCCTAAAAAAATCCATCTAAAGAAAATCTCAAAAAATATGCATGTGCACAGAGCGTAGTGCACAGTTCTGAGGGTTTGCACCAGGAGAGGCAAGAGACTCCAACTTCAGACCTTGGCGCCCCCCACAATTTGTCGCCCTGGGCCATCGCCCCCTAACGCTGGCACTGGATATAAATTACCTCCAACGCCAAGGATTCCAGCGCAGACCATGTTGTTGGTGACAGGGTATGGGATTCCGTTCGTGGCTTGCAGTCTCAGATAATTAAATTGGCAAATCGACAGGTTGATCTTCCTCACTGATACCTCATTTAGCACAGATGAAATATCTGCAAACTAAAAAGATTAGAATAATTAAAAATATATGTTATGAGGCACCGCGGCCATCTCCTGCTCTGCCCAGAGCAGGAGAAGGAACGCAAGCGCGGATCCAGCCTTCAAAAAAGGTTGTGGTCACAGCTACTAGAAAATCGGTTAAGTACGAGTCGGAGCATGGACATTTGGACATGCTCATTAACAATCATGCAAATCGTTTATGAACTTATGAATTAGATTATTTTCTTTTTTTCTGAGCATCAGGACTTTGGCCTTAGGAATATAAATAAACTTAGGAAGAAGTCGGACACGATTTCTTCTAATTTCTAATAGTCAGTTTCGATCCAAACCTATTTCAATCACAAGTGTATTAAGGTTGTGGGCATGCCCATCGTGCCCACAACGGTGGATCCGCCCTTGAAGGAACGGGGGGTTTTTAGTCAGTAAGAGCCATGACACTTTCTTTCGCCTCACCCTGGGTGGGAGAAGTCATTTGATGATGTACCCCTGACAAAAAAAAAATGTATGATAGAGTGCCCAGTTGGCGTGTGCGGTGGCTGAGGAATAGGCTGCCGCCCAACGTGATACAGTGTCGATGCCCACGACTGCCCATAAGGAATACGTATTTTTTTCTTTGTGTGTTCCACAAACTTTCTCCGGGTGTCATGTTAGTAATAAGTACTGTACATACATAACATTATATAATTCTATTTCTAATATTTAAGTAACAAAGTAGACTATTATTTCTACATAATGTTATTGTGAACTTAGTTCGTAAGATAGTAGGTTAAAGTTAATAACTTTAGATCCGACAGACAGACTATGTGTAAAGTTTTGTAGGACATTTTAAAATGTTCCTGTTTCATCAATAAATAAATAAATAAAAATAAATGTGTATGTAGAATTGTAGTGTAGTAGAAAAGTAAAAAAATAAACTAATTTTTTTTTTTACTTTAAAAATATATTAAAAATTATTTTTTTACTTTTCTAGTTTTTATAGGTATTTTATATCGTTTTATAGGTATTGCTAAGAGCACTCTCGATTTAGTCTTAACATTCCGCTTTCATTTGAGATCCCAATCGAGAATTTTTTGAAGACCTTCGGTTACCCTACCCAACTTACGCCCCTAACTTCTAAACGGCTCAACCGATTTTCATCAATCATGTCTAAGAAAACTAGCCACTCGCAAACGCTCGTCATTGAAATTTAAAATCGTTTCATCCGTTCAGGCTTCTGGATGTCACAGACAGACATACACGTCAAACTTATAACACCCCTCCTTTCCCATCGGGGGTTAATTAACACGAAAAAGCAAAAAAAAATATGAGAACATTCTTAAGTTTTTTTTTAAAAAAACGTTGCCCCACACTTGGATTTTCTCCTGTGTCGTGGGTGCGTTTACAAACATACAATTTCACATGCACATCACACCTAGACCCGGAACAACAATCTGTGGATCACACAAAGAGTTGTTCCGTGCGGGAATCGAATCCGCGACACGTTGCGCGGCAGCCAGTTGCCCAGCCACCGCGCCAACCGTGCAGTCAAAAGTTCCTTTCGCAGTACGTCATGCACTCCAATAAACTTTCCTTATTGTGATACCTTTATGAGTGTTGAACAGTACTTACGTCTGTTTTTCCCCATCCGACAGCTATGACTGTGGCGTTATCAGGTACAGAAGCTCCTTGCATCGGTATTTTAGCACTTATGACTGAGGAACTTAGAGTGACAGCAGTCCTGAGGAGTAGTACCGCAATATCGTTGTTCCTGACTGGAGACCCATAGTTCTCGTGGACGACGATAGCTGATACTTGATGTGTGGTGCCCCCTGTCAGTAATAAGTTATTAGAAAGAAAGAAAGGAAGAAAGAAAATGCGTTTATTCGGCATTAGACATGAAAGCCAGAACAAAACAAAAATACAACACAAAAAAAAACAATAATAAGGTTAAAAAGACTGAAAAACTACAATTATTTGTGGACCACGTTATTGTAATCCAAAAATTGTTGCATCAGATTTTAAGCGTGTAATGAGTATATAAAAGACAATGTCCAAATTTGCCTGTGCAATAAAGAGTATCTGAATACACGATAATAAAATTAATGGCCTATTTTTTAAACATACAAGTTGCCTATATTTTTTTACTCTGCAATGCCCTTTGTGTATTTTTAATCTTCTGGTCGTGGTAATTCGAGGCATAACGAAAAACAATAGGTGTGCGAACGGCGTTCGCTTGGGGTGTGACGAATTAAACGCACTGTATTAATAAAATACTCACTATTTACATAACGGCGCATGCGTCAACATCAAACATCGGGTTGACTTTTGTCTGTCAAAGTTAACCTAGCGAAGCGTCATGGATGAGGGTTGTGAGGACGATCGGAACAGACTTCTGGTTCGAGACGGCGTCCCCACACCACGCTTGTTGCGAATCGCTTCGCATCCAAGTGATTACTGTCATTGTAACGAGGTCTTGTGGGCACTTATAGGCTGATGATGATGAACGACGTCTTGCGATTTTACGCTCACTTCCCTAACTAACTACCTACTCACATAAGATGTACTCATATAAGATGAGTTCTGACGAAGGTCCTTCTGCTCTTACATACCTACATATCTAACGTGTTTCTCTTTTGTGTATGTATGCAATAAAGTAACTAACCTGAATACAGGAAGGTCGAACCGACGCGAATGGTGAACAGGTTGGGATTTAAGACGGCATTATTTCTGTGAATAATAAATGTCTATATTAGAGATGTTAATGCCGGATCAGACACGGATCTACGCATCTAAATACGGATATTTAGTGACCGGTACCCGAAAGGCCGATCAATGTTAAAATCAATTTAATCTCTTGTCTTGTCATCTGATTGGATTTTAACATTGATCGGCCTTTCGGAAATCGGGTGTAGTGTCAAGATCCGCGGATACGGTTTAAATGTGGCAGAGCCATGCTTTGGCACGAATGGGTCGGGTCGACCGGAGTGATACCACGGCCTCACAGAAAACCGGCGTGAAACAACCACAGCGTTGTGTTTCGCCGTATAAGCGAGGTTACCGAAGAATAAATATGCAGTAGGGAAATAAATTTCAAAACTGTTGTATGATAAATTTCTACTTACGAAGAAACGAAGCAATGTGCAGCGGACAGTACATGTCGCCTGGTCAGGAGTGTGCCCCCACAGGTGAATTTGTTAGCGCCACCGCTGAGGATATAAACCTGAAATCATCTTTATAAATAAAAATTGATCGCAAAATGTGTTGGTATGCGCATATAAGGGCAGCTCGCCGCCTGACCAGAACCAGACCCGAGCGTACGGCGCGTAGCGTTCCGCGCGCGCCTCAAAGAGCCAATAGACCACCACAGACGGGGCCCTGAAGGGCTGATGTTCAGCCGGGGTTGCGGGGTAAGCGCAATGAGGCACCGTGACCTCAGCACAGAGCAGGAGAAGGAACAGGGGGTTTTTAGTCAGTAAGAGTCTGACACTCCCTCCCGCATGGCCCTGGGCGGGAGAAGTCGTTTGATGATTTTCCCCTCACAAAAATAAGCGCATAACTCAACAACGCCTGGGCCAATTTTGCTAATTCTTTTTTTTTTGTGTTTGTTATTATCAGGAGAAGGTTCTTATCACGGAAAATATTATAAAAGTAGACGCGAATATTAGGAGAAAGTGACCCTTTGATAGCGAGATAGTTGGACCCGTGCGAACCCGCTAGTATTCAATAGAAATGAAGACCGTCAGTCAATTTTTGAGTGACGGAGTGCCAGGCTTCGGCACAAATGGGTCGGCTACCACGGCCTCACAGAAAGAACCAGAACGTTGTGTTTCGCCGTGTGAGTGAGGTTACTGGAGGCTCAATCCCTATCCCTAACCTTCCCAATCCTTACACATCCGAAACCCTTATCCGCAAAAGATCGGCAACGCACTCGTAACTCTATCCCGAATGTATACTGCTTATGCTTGGGCCACACTAACGGGAAATGCCATTATTTATCGCAATAATGGACGTTAATTGCAAGTGTAATTTGATCACTAAGCAAATGGTTTAAGGTAAATTTTTCATTGTATTGTATCACCAATTATCGCGATAATTATTGGCATTTCCCGTTAGTGTGGCCCAAGCATTACAAAGAGCAAGAAGTGGATATAGACTTGATCACCTCTTCTGTAAGAAAAGCCACACTTACTATCTAATGGGTAACTCTAAGTAGTCAAATTTAATTGTTTCTAAGCAAATCAAATTTCATTTCATTATTTATTGATCTATTCATTGTTAATTAATATTAATATTATTTATTATGAGCATTTTAATTTAAATGTTTGTATGTTTTAGATTGTGTCATGTAATTTAGATTGAATATTTGTCAAATTAGCTTCAATTTAACTTTTTTGTTGCATTATTTGTTCAAATTAATTACTACTTAATTATTTTACTACCCGCGCATTATATTATAGTGCATGCTGTGCTTCTCTATAAGTAATGGGGCACTTAGAATTACATTTGGAATGTACAATTTATATGTATGGTATAGTGTACGAATTGTTGAGAAGACTAAATAAAAAAAAATCCTTCGTTGTTGCGGGTTCCCAGGTGCGGCGCTGATTGCTTACCATCAGGTATTTCGCCTGCTCATTTGCCGACGGAACGCATAAAAAGAAAAAAAATAGGGTAATTTGTGACCGTTAAAGTAAACACGTGATTCTACTCATTGTAACAAAAAAAAAATATTCCAAAACAAACTATTTTTGTATAACTATTTATTACTAAGTATAGCAAAATTACTAGTGCGCGAGCAATGTTCAAATGTTGCTCGGTCGCCGTGCGTCGCGTCGTCCGATTAGCTCATAGCTGTTAGGTTCATAATATTTCTTTTTTTGTGTTATCGTCGTGTATTGTGTACCCACTTATTTGTCAATTAATTTGTGTGAATAAATATCTTATCTACCTACCTATCTATGTATCTATATATTTTTTCTTATCGGATTAATTTTGATGGAGTTTATGTACTAACACGACGCCATTGTCGTTAGATCACGTAGCCTCTCTCATTTCCTCATGGACAAGACGACTTGTTGCTACTTTAATTAAGGGTTGGACCTCATCTGGGAGCACGGATTCGCATTCGTTCCGCTTGTGCTACCACGTGCTGCAGTATGCTGCCGCATGCGAATGCGCGCTATCGCATTCCGCAGACAAAAAAGGCGATCGCACAAAAAGGTGAAAGAATGCGTTAGCAATAGCATGCTATCGCACGCTTCAGCGTTCCGGAGTCTCCCTGCCGGCCATTGCGTTTTGTCTGTGATGCCGATCGCTTCGAGGAAACCGACGTTTTTTTTTGTGAGGGGAAATGAAAATCATCAAATTACTTCTCCCGCCCAGGGGCGGGCAGGAGGGAGTGTCAGACTCTTACTGACTAAAAACCCTCCTGTTCCTTCTCCTGCTCTGTGCCGAGGTCGCGGTGCCTCATAGGATTCCGACGTGCTGTCGCATTATTACACGCTTTCTGTCTCGGTCTAGCAAATAGCAGTTCTAAGCGACAGAAAGAGAAAGGGTGACGGAAAAAGGCGACTCCGGGCTGCCAGATGAGGTCCTACCTTTATTTTTAATTTTTTTATATATAGGTATATACTTTATTGCACACATACACCAAGTAGCAATACATTGGATACTATGACCGAATGTTGTGATTACAATGGGCGGTCTTATCACACAAGATGATTTCTTCCAGACAACCTTTAGATGGAAATGTATAAAAGAAACTTGGCCATAGGTAGTGTAGTGTACAGTTAAAACAAGTACTACATAAAAAAGATACGAATTAATAAAGATAAAGAAATACGTATAAATATAGTTATATCATTATAACGTATGTATATGTGTGTGTGTGTGTGTTTTTTTTAGTCACTAGACTTTAGTACAGTCATTTGGTTACTTTTTTTTTCAATCATTCTTTGTCAATTTTGTTTATAGGTAAGTGTTCACTGACCTGCACTGTAAAAGGGTATTGTTCTATCGTAGTGGATGATCCTCCGATGATGCGGCTAGCAGAAGTCGCCGGCAGCGCCACTGGTGTGATATGGTACTCTTCCTCAGCATGACCTACTGAATAAAAAATCTAGTTACACAAACTTCCGCACGCGGTTTCGACCGCTTGATGTGTTGATAAAAAGTAGCCTATGTCCTATTCCGGAGTGTATCTTATGCCCGTGCCAAATTTCGTAACTTTGCCATTTATAATATGGATAAGATAGTGATAGGATACCTATTTATATTGTGTCGTGGTGGCCGGGAGGTTAAGACGTCCACTTCTCTCATGCATGGAACAAAGGACGCATTCAAAAGTATCACAATCAAATAAATAAATAGATGTAACGTTTCGTTACAAGACTTACAAGGAAAACATCGTGAGAAAACCTTGACTTACAATTTCTAATATGTATGCCGTACAATAAGTTTGAAATCGCCAATCTGTCGAGCAAGCGTGGTGACTAATTCTCATATCTTTTCAAATCAAATTATATTCTTTATTTCACAACAGGCACTTTTGAACGTCAAGCAAAAAAATAAAAAATCAATAAGCTTTAACTTTATACATGTCAGTCGGTCCGTCTGTCCTCTAGTGAAGCTATTTGTTCGTTCCAAAGTGTAGATGAAGATTTCACACTTTTTTCATATTTGTCTCTTTTTCACTCGTGATTATTGAATCATGCCATCTCACTTTGACGTCTCAACATACGAATTGTTCATGTGTGTATCAGTGTGTCGTTTTTGAAAATCGAATTTTGTTTAGGTTAACCACCCTCCCTGCTTACCCCGCAGCCCTTAGACGCGGCGCTGACGTTCAGCTGTTAGATCATCGTTTGTATCTGTCGGCAGCAAGCGTTATACAGTTGATTCCATTAAACCTATCTACAAATTCTACACCATTTTACTTTTAATATCATTCGTGTGAATCATATTGATTTATGAACAAATATGCACGTAGGTACACATTTACCGCAATTACTAAGTCATTTATAAGTGTGGTAGAAAGTACCTATTTAATAATTATCATCGCTTGTTTCCCAGATATGACTAAGTATGATAATAGATTATTTTAAGTGTGCAGTTTTCAGAATCGTACTTATTATCATAGGGGACTACAATATATCTTACACATAGTTTAAAAAAACTGACTCATTCCTGTCAAATGCGGATGCAAAATAATTGTCAACAAACTGTGAAGAATCATTCGTTGAAGCTTGGGAGTCTTAGACTAAATGTGCAAATTTAAATTCAAAATCTTTATTGCCAACTAATTGTAAGTATACCTACATATTTTCTTAGATATCTATACTAATATTATAAAGAGGTAAAATTTGTAAGTTTGTATGTAGGGGATAATCTTTGGAACCACTGTTCGGATATCCAAAATTCTTTCACTGATAGATAGCTACAATGTTCTCAAGTGCTATAGGCATCCAGCTACAATCAAATGGAGCTGAGCAGCGAGTGAAACCGCGCGGGAGTAGCTAGTTAACAATATTCATATAGGTACTTAGGACTTAGTTACCTGTTTAGGTATTGCAATTATAAAAATTGTATATAGGTACATGTTATGCATTTTTATTCTGAAAATTTATATAAGTACATATATCTTACTTTCGCCTTTTTATACATATTTAGTAGACGGTTATTTCTCTTCTAGGAATTCCTACAGTCGGGGGCCATCTGAAAACCAGTGCTGTGCATTAGCACAGCATATACTGAGATGAACCCCTTGCTACACTTTATATTTTTTTTTTGTGTAATGTTTATTTTCGTACATTTTCAACTTATGCATCTGTAGCTAAATAAATGGTGTTAAATGGTGAATTCTTTTTCACAGAATAATAAGACTTTTTGATAAGGAAATCTTTTAGTTTCTTTTTAAATATAGCAACTGTTTGTACGTTCTTAATGTCGTAGGTAACTTATTATATAATTATTTTAATGGCTATACAAAAATACCGTTGCTGTACACTGCAGTGCTGGATGTTATGCTGCGTAGTGTGTTTCTAAGCCTACTTTTTTATGTAGACGAGCAGACGGATTACCTGATGGTAAGCAATCAGCGCCGTCCTTGGACACCCGCAACGGAGGAGTTACGAGTGCGTTGCCGACCTTTTAGGGATGAGGGATTTGGAGATTTAGGGATTGAGGAGGGATTGGGGGTGGGGAAGGATTGGGCCTCCGGTAACCTCACTCACACGGCGAAACACAACGCTGTGGTTGTTTCACTTGGAATATGGAATACTGATTTCGTACTTAAACAAAGATAAAAACGTCAATGGACCATTTTAGATTGTAAAAAAAAACAGTTTATAATTTCTATGTTACTGTAACTGAAGCTCCCATTTCATTTTGTCGCATTTATTATATATATATACTACTGCTTATAATTGTAGTTGCTATCAAATAAACTCAGTCAAAAAAAGTCTTAATCTTAATGCATTCCTTTTAGTACCTAATTGGTGAATTTGAACCGATAATGCAGTGATTGTTTAATAAATTAAGTGTGGGAGAGCCATGCTTCGGCACGAATGGGTCGGCTCGACCGGAGTGATACCACGGCCTCACAGAAAACCGGCGTGAAATAACCACTGCGTTGTGTTTCGCCGCGTGAGTGAGGTTACCGGAGGCCCAATCCTTCCCCTTCCCCAATCCCTAAATCTCCAAATCCCTAATCTCTTAAAGGTCGGCAACGCACTCGTAACACCTCCGTTGCGAGTGTCCATGGGCGGCGCTGATTGCTTACCATCAGGTAATCCGTCTGCTCGTTTGCCGATCTATTACCTACATATAAAAAAAAAATTGAAATGAAGAACTGAAAATCTCTGCATATTTTTACCTAATTCACAGGTAATTTGTCCATCTCCAATATTTCAGCGGAAAGAATATTAAATACGTATTCGTTATTTAATCTTTTGGATATTAAAAAGAACTATAATCTATATGAAAACAAATAAGTACCTTTATATTTATTGAGGTTAGTTATTTTCTTTTTCTTTGTGTAAGGACGCCTGATTGTTATCAATGATAATCGAATGTTTCATAACAGTAAGTAATTAATTGTATAACTTACTCAGTATTGATTGCTAGGTACCTGCGTCACGTTAAAGTTTTTTTAAAGATTTCTTAGAAATATCTTTTTAATACATTGATACAAAGATTTTTTTTGCACTTTAGAAACACACTGTACCTATATAAAATCAAGGAAATAAAATAAAAAGTAAATAAAACTTACAGCCAGCGATCGCAACAAATAATAAAATTAGACACCACATGTCTGTATGTCCGTCCTGGACGATATGACATGCCCTACATGCTGATAATACCGTTATCAGTATCGATAAAATATTTTATAGAAAGCATTCTTGCAATTTTACCGCTGCGACTGATACGCGACGGAAGCGGAGCGATTTATCTTGGAACTCTTATTCGCATGTCTAGCAAGCCAGCAGAGCACTTACGGCACGGTAATTATATCTATCAGTACTACAGTATACATATATAATTCATTTATTTCAGATAAGAATCCATAATGACGTAAGTTTGTACGTAAGTAGGACTTATTGTAAAATAAGTCCTACTTAAAATAACTCGGCCGCTTTTTAAAAATTAATGCCTATTGTCGCGCGGTACGTAAACATGCGGCAGGGCTGCTGCCTCAGCTTATTGTCGTCTATATAAATTAGGTACCTACCCTACAACTCACAATAGCTCGAAACTAAATTGAACAGCTAACTACATATTTTTTAAAATCATAACCCTCTCAAATATTTTAATAAGAATTATATTTTGAGTCTAGCTGTTGTCACTACCTATTTCACTAGTAACAATAACTAGCCTTTACTGATTTTTTTTCTCCCGCCCATTGCCGGGCGGTAGGGAGTGTCAGACTATTACTGACTAACCCCCCCCCCCCCCCCGTTTCTTGTATTGCTCTGGGCCGAGGCCGCGGTGCTTCATTGCGCTTGCCCCGTAAACAAGGCAGAACATCAGCCCTATAGGGCCCTGTCTGTAGTGGTCTATCGGCTCTTTGAGGCGCGCGTAAAACAATAAGGTTTTGGTCGGGCGGCGAATTATCTTCGACGTCCTCAGGCCCGAGCTTATTGTGGCCGGAGATCGTCTCTTGATCCCCGACGCCCGGAGTGTTGCCTACTGCGGCTGCTGAGGCGTGAGGAGGAGGATAGCTCCCTCACGCGATCCGCCTCTTTTTTGCGAGCAAAAATGTTTTACAGAAAGAGAAGACGTCAAAAGAGGAGACGTTATCCCAATCCCTCTAGCTCCGCGCGATGGCCTCGAGGACCCTGAGGACATGGCGGTGCTCAGCCTAGGCAGGGCACACCACCACCGTATGCTCCACCGTATACTCTGAGCTAGCTAGTCGCCGCCTCAAGTCCGGCGCCTTGTGAAGCGCCACATCGAGTCACATCTGCCGGATCCTCGCAAAAACCTGTCTGTCGTAGCGTCACTAGGAACGCCCTCTGCGAAAGCTGAACTGGCCATCCGCTAGATCCGCCCCCTTCCCGACGGTAGTAAGAGTCTGACAATCCTCTTTGTCCACCAAGGGCGAGGGAAACGAGAAGATAAGGTATCGATTTTCTCTTTCGTTCATGAATACCTTTTTAGGGTTTCGTAGTAAACTAGGAACCCTTATAGTTTCACTATGTCTGTCTGTCTGTCCGTCCGTCCGGATAATCTCAGTGAGAGTTAGCAGTAGAAAGGTAAGAAGTGGTCTTGACGGAAAACTCCTCGCGTCGCTCTATTGGTGGCGCGTGGAGGCAGTCGAGCGGGGCGAACGCCTGGTGCCTCGATAGGTTGAGGCACGCAGGGCAGAACTCCGCCAGGCCTTAGTGGCAAAGTGGCAGACGCGTTTAGCGCAACCCACGGCGGGGCACGCCGCTATAGCGGCGGTAAGGCCCGTTCTAGAGGAGTGGCTCAATAGGAGCCACGGCGCCCTCAGCTTCCGGCTGACGCAGGTGTTTACCGGACACGGGTGTTTTGGGAAGTACTAAGGGTGACAAAAATGCATGGAGAGCTTAAGGTCGACTATTGACTGACAGGTTTTGCATAACGCTACCATTGATAACTAGATGGCGCTGCTTTTAAATGAAAATAACCCTGCAAAGCTTGAATACTTTACACTACAGAGGCACACAATAAGGTTTTTAATGGTTAAAATAATAATTAAGAAACAATAATACATTTATATTCAAATACACATAAATTATGTTACTTTTCTCATTTCCGAGGACTTAATATAGCGCCATCTAAGTCAAGTCAAGCAAACCAATCAAAAGATGGCGTCAATAATTAATAATAGACAATAATAAAAACTAACCCGCATTTTCGACTTCATGAATAATGCGATCGGTAGCTCGGTTGAATAAGAATGGTAGACTTATGAAGTCGAAGGGCACCGGTTCAATTCTGGGTTATCATTTTTAAATTCAGGTTTATTAACAATGGATTTTTTTTATAGTTTTGTATAAAATCAATAATAATAATATATAAATAAAATATTTGACGTTTAATATTTATAAAAGATAACAAAAATAATTATATATATATTAGTTTTGAATAAAATTATACTAATAAATATATATAAATAACTTTTATAATATGTGCTAACTATTGATGTAAAAGTAACATATTTTTCTCACAGATTAAGACTAATACTAAGTTTAATTCTCATAAAGGATAACAAATAAAACTATTTTAGTGACATTATAATTTCAGACATTTATTTCTTAAAACATAATTTTTATTTCTTTCTTAAATAGTGTATACCTTGACCTAATAACTTTTCAGCTAACTAACACATTCATTATCATCTGAGGCCAAAAAATTGTATCGTCTAATTATTTTATGTTTAAAGTTAAGAGCTAGCTAAACCTATAAATGGTTTAATAAGTAGATAAGTAAGCACTGAATTTTGTACACAATAATAGGGCTGAAATCTTCTGTATGGAAAAAAGCCCTTTTAATAAAATAAAGATTAAAAAAAAAAAAAACTAACACATTATTTAATACACTTTATAAAAGATTAATAAGTATTTTAAATCAAAATTGTGTTGTGCTAGTCATTTATTAGTTAGTTTTAAACACAATGTTATAATACGATTCTATATAATATGCAACCTTACTTCTGCAAATATTTTACCTCCCCATAAAATTTACTTAAAGTATTGACTAAAGTGATTCATTTTGTGCATGTTATGACAAAGGCTCATAGCTTAAGTATTCGTTCCAGAACAAGGAAGAAATTGAAGCTAGACCTTAAATCAATAACATTTCTAATACCGGGATATAGCATTCATTAGATATAAGACGAATTGTTTATAGTAATTAATAAATAAATAATTTATTATTTTGCAATCAATAGCATCTGTAGATATTAATATTATTTTTATTTCTCATATTTAGTAAAATATTAAAATAATTACTATAAATAACAGTTGCTGGTTATAAAGTAGTCAATAAAGGACATGGCCAAAAAAGTACATTCCACGTACACGAACAAAATTAATACACTGTAAAATACAAATAGAAATATGAATTATTACGTAGTTTTTAGCCTCTCCAGACCTGACAATTATTATTAAAAAAATGTAAAAGTAATGCAACGAAATCAACTTCGTTTGTCAAGTTTCGCCATAATAGTCCATAGAGAAAGATAAATAAAAAGACGTTCCAATTCCAAACCACGTGTCTTAAACTACACTCGTAGAAAACGTGTGATATGATCGACAAATGCATTACACTAGGAACATTTTATTCATACGAAACTGTATTCATTGGTTTTAGTTGCATATTAAAATATACTCATATTATAATAATGTTATGTTTTATTTTTATACAATTCACAAAAAAAAAACTTAAACGAAACGGAACGTGTTTGACACTTGACAGCGTGTTTTTGTTAACCTTGCTAATAATACTGGAGTAACTGTTTTGCGTTTTGGATTTGTTTTGTGGATTACGATGAGGTGCATCAACTGCGGAATAGGCGTACAAAGGCTGCAGAGGCGTCTTATATCCTCGCTTTCTGCACACCATCAAACAAAACTTTCACGTTGGTTAACCAGCTCAAACCCAGGTATGAAGTCGGAATAGTATAATACTTAGTCTGTTTTTTTATGTTTTATCATGGTATGCGATTTTAAATAGTGCATCTTTTTTTTAGTTGCCTCTGGGGACAGTCATTTGTCAACCACGCTTCTTATTATTGAATACTGAGGCTGGTGAACATGAGCGACTACTGGGGCATAACATGGCTTGCCTTGGTTGTGGAAAATCGGTTCGAAAAATAAGACACCATAATGTCAGTATGGACTCTCCATTGCTAGCTAGCCTAATGTCACAAAATACTATTAATGTTAAGCATTTTGTTTTTTATTCATTGTTTTATATATGTACTTGTATTTATTTATATTAATCTATAAAAAAAGTACTCATAGTAGGTATGTGTGATTATAATATCTATCTTTATGTATTTTCCATGTTTGCATAGACTTCTTTAAAATAGGCATGTTGTAACATAATACTTCCCACTATCCAATAACATAAAACTTGAAAACATGTGTTTATTCTAACTGGGGTTTATTTTTTCAGACCTCAAGAAGCAACTATGTTTGTCATGTGTGCTGTATGCGGGCAAATAGACAGACAGTGCAGGACTTATCACGAAACTTGCAGGAATTGGGTTCGGACAACAATGCAGTAGCCCCTTATATTCAAGTGGTTAGCCCACCAGAGCCACCACCATTTCGTCCTGTTTTAAGCAGGCCGCTTCAAATGTAAAGTACTACCATATATTACCCAATTATACAGAATATATATTAAAGAAACGTACATTCCATACACAAACATAATAAAATACACTTTATAATAAAAATATAAAAGTGAATTATTACGTAGTTTTATTTTATTTGTTCTCCTTAATAAATAAATCATTATTCTTTATACATATTCTTTTGTTTTATTTTATAAATAAATAAATAAATAATTAAAACGCCATGGTTTTTAAAAGCAAAATCTTATTTCGTGCACTTATGGCCAGTAATCTGACTAAAGGTTTAGTGAAACTATTTTCGTCTTGTTTGTTATAATTACGAGTTCTTCATGTGTTTTATTTTTTGCAATTTAATTTAATAATATTCACGAATGTAAACACCAAAAATCATTGATGTACATTGAATTCAATAACTATGCAAACGCCCATACAAAAGTTGGCCATGTCCTTTATAAACGAGAGCATTCGATTCAGAAATATTCGATTTCCATATCGAATAATTTCGCAACGTCACTATTTAATACGTGTCATAACGTTGCAACACTGAAATTGTCAAATCTGGAATGGAATTAAAATTCCGAGTATAGTTGGAAACTACCGTATTAATCAATAAACTTTTTACGTTTGAAAAATTATGAATATATTTTTTTTGGATGTTCGTGCCCACACTAGCAGAGGAACTTGTAAAATAACTAAATGGCCCATGCTCACAATATTATTTTATTATTATCTTGCTGCATGGCGTCGCAAAGGTGCACGCATTCTTATCGTATTTCATGTATGAGTTTAGTGATTCTATACCACGGCGACGTAAGCTTAAAAAGTTGACTAACTTATCCCGTTTTCCCAACATTTACCTTCACTGCTCTGCTCCTATTAATTGTAGCGTAATGTAAAGTATCCTATAACCTACCCAGGAATATGAAGAATAAGTGTATCAAGTTTTGTTAAAATATGTCGAGCAGTTTTTGTTTCTATAAGGAACATACAGACAGACAGACAAAAATGTTACTGATTGCATTTTTGGCATCAGTATCATACCAACACCCCATGATAGTTATTTTGAAAATATATTTCATGTACAGAATCGAATTCTCTATAGATTTATTATAAGTATAGACATATTCGTTTTATGTAAATAATTAAAATTTGTATTAATAAATATATCATTCAGGGCGAGATTGGTGAAGATCTTTTTGCCGTGAAGTAGGAATGTCAAGACTTTTAAACGGGGTACTAGGGAGAGGTAAGGCTTAGTTAAGTCAAAGTCAAAAATCATTTATTTCAATTAGACCACAGTAGGCACTTTTGAACGTCAAGCAAGCAAAAAAGGAAAAAAGTATATAATACTAAAAACATAAAACTTTAAAAATATAAAACTTTAAAATTAAGCGTGTCAGTCTGTCCGTCTGTCCTCTAGTGAAGCTATTTGCTCGTTCCAAAGTGTAGATTCCTATGGAGAAGAACGAGCAAGAAACTCCATGGTTACTCTTTTTCAATCAGTTTTACAATACATTTCTTTGTTACATAATTTAGTCGGTTCTGATATGTGAGAACAATGTAACACTAATGTTCAGGCAAAAAGTACGAAAAAGAAGTGAACCTCAAGGACAACATATTTAGACAGCCTGGAGATGACCAGTCCCAATAGGCGGCGCCCGTTCACGAACATGACACGTACACCAGCACCGCCCAACTCAACCATATTATAGGGAATTGGGCGATCCAGTGCCCGTGCCACCGCCAATGAGACCTCTGAGTGAGCATGACAGCTCCCAGCCGACACAAGTACCTATATTCTACAAGTCTTACTTAATTATAATAATAATAATAATAAATCCGCAAGGCAGCTTGTGGCGAGCTGTTGGGCTGTGGCGACCCCACGGACCTGACTGAGAGTCCGATAAGTGTGACGGAAAAGTGGTTCAAACCCTTTGACATCATGACGTCAATGGATGGTTGTCAAACGTTGCCTAGAGATTGTAAATTTCGTCGTGAATTGTCAACACGAGTTGGTGTAATCGGTAAGGCGTGTGGATTACACCACAGAGACCCCGAGTTCGAGTCCCGCCGTAAACATGAAGTTTTTTAGTTTATAGAAGTTTTGTCGAACTTTCTGGAATTATTTGTGTGAAAGAAATGAAAAATTAAAGAGCGAGAAGGAGAATAAATAAAAATGAATAACGAAATTATTGGACGGTTCTGGAGGCATGACGATCAAAAAGAATAACGAAATTGAATGTTCCAGAACCTGACCGGGGGTATATAAGTTGAACTGCGGCTCACCGCTGGCAGTTGAGTTCTAAGTCTAAAGCGATTCGGAAGAAAAGGAAGAAGTGAGAAAGAAGAAAAGTGAGTGAAATAGTGAAGTGCAGTCAGTTAAGTGAGTTAAGTCAGCGTGAACGGCAAAGTTGTGTCAGTCGGCCGGACTCTGCTGGAGAGGAACGCCGATAACTTAACTCCGTGGACGCTGTAACTTAAGTGCAATAGAAAGTCTGAAAACCGGTATTAGTGTTTCATTTCATCCAATCCCGTAACCCAAGCCCGCATAGTCTGATGCATACAACACATGGTTAAAAAATCTACCAGATATTTTACTAGAGAAGACAGTAGCTCGTTGCTGCCGTAATACCTCGCCAACCTGTCTATATGGACAACTTTCAAAGGGCTCCTTGAAGTCTGGGAATTAACAAACGGCAAGGACGAGCATTTGCAAAATATAAATAAAAACACTACACACTACACAACTAAACAATGTTGATACGGATGCCAGCAATATTGGAATAGGAGGTGTCCTTTCACAACGCGATGGCATTATATTATGTATTAAAAATTTCACAACTTGTTGACAGTCAGTGTTGCCGCATACTTATTATTGGTAAAGACATACAAATAATAAGTATGCGGCAACACTGACTGTCAACAAGTTGTGAAATTTTTAATACATAATATAATATTTTATACTGTTTATTTTGGACCTTTTTACGTTTTATCGGACTCAAATTTACATATTATGAAAGTTTAAATAAGTAATTAACTATTTGGTACTTACCTAAAAATATAAAATACAAAAATTATAAATAAATTCACGAAAATGACGTATGTGATGACAAATGTCAAGAAGAAAATCTGTATAAATATAAATAAAAACACTACACACTACACAACTAAACAATGTTGACGAGAGCTAAAGCAAGAGCTGCATCACAAAGGACACGCCCGCCATCTCCGACCTCGCCGCCCAGCTCCGCCCCACCATCGTCGGCACCGGATCCAGATACCGGGATACGACCGACGACCGCAGTGGTGTCAAGTTCCAGCGACGAGTTCTTCTCCCCGCCAACGTCGCCACCACCTCCACGTCGCAGGAGAAAACGTCGGCCACCGAGTAGCTTAGGACCACGAGGCCCATCGGCCTCGGGAGGGGTCCCAGCGCCCGGTGGTAGTGTGTCGCGCATGAAATGGACTACATCCATAAATGAAAATGTTATGCGCGCATACTTTGGGGCAACAGAGGGAGGAAATAACCTGACTGCGTACCGTGTCAGAATGCTTGCTCTGTTTCAGGTGCTCGAACCATCCGTCAACGTATCTGCACAACGATTATCGGATCAGGTACGAGTCATCCAGCGGAATCGAATGTTGGAAGATGTCGTACTTGATCGACTGCGAAGTGAAGTACTAAGGAGCCGCGTCATCATTCCGCCATCACAAACTACAGAAGAGTTACAACCAAACTCTACTGATGTGCCGAATGATGATAGGACTACAGAAGTAAGTACTCACATATGCAGTGATGAATTGAGGAGAACTTTGGAGGGTGCGATTCAGGAATATCGACACGCATATTTGAAGCCGCGTTTGCCTCGTTTGCCTATGCATAAAAAGAATAAAGCGATCATTTGCGCTTTGGACTCACAGCTACCAACATATTTGGACAACAGCAAAGATCTCGTTGATACGCACTCAATTCTGTATTGCGCAGCTATAGCGGCTTGTCGTGTGGCAAATGTCAAATTACCAGACAACTACAATAGAGCCACACGACCAAAACCAGCTGTACCTGCTTGGTAGTGCAGGATTGAACGGCGTATTGGCGAGGTCAGAACACTTATTGCCAAATTGATCTGTTTCAGGGAGGGCAACACTCGCCCGAGGATAATGCGATTCGTGAAGAGAGCGTTTTCAGGGACTGCAATTTCGCCTCAGAATTACGCATCGCACATCACGGAGCGTGTTGACTTCCTGAAACAGAAGATTTATGCATGGGCAAACCGCATTCGCCGATACAAAAGACGAGCAGAGCGGTATACCCAGAATCGCGCATTCCAAAGGGATCAAAGGTGGGTGTATAGAAATCGGGAGCAAAAAGAACAGGCTAGGACTGACACGTGCCTACCAGATTTTAGCGCCACGAAGGCATTCTGGCGCAGCATCTGGTCGGCACCTGTTGATCACACCGAGGGTGATTGGATTGAGGAGGTCAAGGGAAAATGCGAACTGATACCACAAATGAACTCTATTAAGATTAGCACCGAAGACGTATCAAATGCAGCCTACCCGTTGGCTAACTGGAAAGCTCCAGGCCCGGACGGGCTGCATAACTTTTGGATTAAATGGTTTATGAGTTCGCATAGTCGCTTGGCGACTCAATTCCAATCAGCGTTGGAGTCTGGGTCTTTGCCCCAATTCTTTACAACAGGACTTACCCACCTGCTCCATAAATCTGGTTGTACCACGGAACCTAAAAATTATAGACCGATAACGTGTCTGCCGACGATTTATAAACTCCTTACATCCATTTTGAGAGCAAAACTTAATAAGCATATTGAAGACAATAATATCATGTCTAGCTCTCAAAATGGTTGTAGAAATGGGTCCCGTGGTACCAAGGAGCTTCTCCTCATTGACATATCCATTTGCCAGCAGGTTCGTAGGTTTCACAAGAATTTGTCTACATGCTGGATAGACTACAAGAAGGCATATGACTCCATTCCACATACGTGGCTCATGAGGGTGTTGGAGTTGTACAACGTCGACCCAACTCTGTGCACCTTCTTGAGGTCATGTATGAATCAGTGGGAAACAGTCCTTCGCTATCCAGGATGCGGACAGATCTTTGAGAGTGACGAACCCATTAAGATAGAGCGTGGTATATTCCAGGGTGACAGTTTGAGTCCGTTATGGTTTTGCTTAGCCCTGAATCCTTTAAGCACTTTGCTGGAAGGCTCAGAGTTAGGATATCGGTTAAGGAGAGGGGGACAAATTGTATCCCATCTACTTTACATGGATGACTTAAAGCTCTTTGCCCCCAACAATTCACATCTAATGAGGTTACTAAATCTGACTGAAATGTTCAGTAACGCCATTGGGATGGAATTTGGTGTGGACAAATGTGCAGTCATGCATGTAAAGAGAGGGGAGGTTGTGGAATCGGATGGAACGCAAATATCTGATTCCACAAACTTCAGGTCCCTTTCGCCATCCGATAGCTATAAATACTTGGGTATGTCAGAAGCGTTGGGCATCGATACTGCCGTCATGAAGCAAACGTTGCGGGAACGTTTCTTTGGCCGCCTGAGGAAAGTTCTAAACAGTCTTTTATCGGGCGGTAACAAGGTGCGTGCCTACAACGGTTGGGTCATGCCAGTACTGATATACTCCTTTGGCATACTCAAGTGGACTCAAACGGAATTAGATACCCTGGATAGAAAAGTCCGTTCATTGCTGACTGAGCATCGGATGCATCACCCACGATCATCGGTAATGAGACTGTACATTCCACGGAAATGTGGAGGAAGAGGCTTTTTAAATGCCAAAGCCCTCCACAACAGTGAAGTGTGCAGTCTCCGAAACTACTTCTTAAAAATGGAAGTGGGGATGCACCAAGATGTTGTCGCTGTGGACAAAGGACTTACTGCGCTCTCCTTAGCTAACGAGAATTGGAAAAACCTGTAGTACTCAGCACTAAGGACCGTAAGGATGTATGGCAAAGCAAAGAGCTGCACGGACGCTACTATAGGGCTTTACATGGGCCAGAGGTAGACTTCTTAGCGTCCGTATCCTGGCTACGTTTCGGCAACTTATTTGGTGAAACAGAAGGTTTTGTCTGTGCAATTATGGACGAAGTTATGCTGACGAACAATTATCGAAAATATATTATAAAGGATGGTACGGCTGACATCTGTCGGGCATGTCATCGCCCAGGGGAATCCATCCGACATATAATTTCGGGTTGTTCTCACCTAGCTAATGGAGAGTACTTGCATAGACACAACCTCGTGGCCAGGATTATCCACCAGCAACTTGCTTTAAAATACAAACTTGTTGAATCTGAAGTGCCGTACTATAAGTATCTGCCTGACCCAGTTCTCGAGAATGGAGATGTCACACTGTATTGGGATCGAACTATCATCACTGATAGGACAATTGTAGCCAACAAACCTGACATTGTGATGATAGATCGATCTAGCCGTCGCACAATGATAATTGATATAACAATCCCACATGACAAGAATCTTGTGAAAGCTGAAAAAGATAAAGCAAGTAAATATCTTGATTTAGCTTTACTTTAGCTACTTTCACAGCATCATGTCGTATGGAATTCTGTTGTGGGGACAGGCATCCGACGTTGAGTCTATCTTTATCTTACAAAAGCGTGCAGTCAGAGCTATCTATAACTTAGGTCGTCGCGAATCACTCAGAGAAAAGTTTAAGGAGATCAACATTATGACCGTACCATGTCAATATATTTATGAAAACATTATGTATGTTAGGAAAAACCTACAGCTATTTGTAAAAGTATCTGACAAGCATGACTATCTTACTAGACATAGAAATAGATTAAGTCAGCCTTTATTTAGATTAGCAAAAGTGCATAAGTCGTTCATGGGATTATGTGTTAAATGTTATGATAAAATCCCAACTGAAATACAAAATCTTAATGAAAGTAAATTTAAATTATGTATAAAGAAAGTATTATGTAGGAAAGCATACTACAAACTAAATGATTATATAGAAGATAAAAATGCTTGGAGGGTGGCTGGTTTGACTGCACAGGATAAAAATTGTTAAGGTTTAAGAGGAATTTTGATCTCAATTATTAAATTATTCACCATGTTGTTAATTGTTGATTAACTGGATTTTTGTAAATGTGAGAGCCCTGTAACTTATTATAATTGAGTTAGACTTATAGACTTATAGTATATTGGTATTTGTGTCAGTTGGGAGTTGTCATGCTCACTCAGGAGTCTCATTGGCGGTGGCACGGGCACTGGGCCGCTCGGTTCCCTATAATATGGTTGAGTTGGGCGGTGCTGGTGTACGTGTCATGTTCGTGAACGGACGCCGCCTATTGGGACTGGTCAACTCGAGACTGTCTAAAGTTGCTGTCCCTGAGGGTTATTTCTTTTTCGGATACTTTGGTTAAACACTAGTGTTACACTGTTCTCACATAATGGAACTATCTAAATTATGTAACAATGCATTGTAAAAAGTGATTGAAAAAGAGTAACCATGGAGTTTCTTGCTCGTTCTTCTCCATAGGAATCTACACTTTGGAACGAGCAAATAGCTTCACTAGAGGACGGACGGACAGACTGACACATAAAGTTAAACCTTATGATATCTTTTTTGCTTGACGTTCAAAAGTGCCTTTTTTGGTCTATTTGAAATAAAGAATTTGATTTGATTTGATTTGATTTGAGCTCATGAGATTGTCGACATGTGGGATGTAGACTCAGCAATCATTGTGCCGATAGTCGTGTCTGCCAATGGTCTCATGGCTAAAAGCCTTGATAAACACCTAAGCAGGCTTACGTTAGATGGTTGGGTCAAGAATCTGATCCAGAAAGCTGTACTTCTAGACACGGCGCGCATTGTCCGGAGATTCCTTTCTCTGGAACCCTGACCACCGGTTGCTTGGAACCCTCCCGTAACCGGTGGGATACTGCTTTTTATATTTTTAAGTGTTTTTTTTTTGTTTTATGAAAATATTTAAAAATGTAAAAATCAAGTTTTAAAATAAATAAAAATAATAATAAGTTTAATTACCACATTTCGCAATAGTCCTGCATCAACCGGGGATTATCCTTGGGTGCTCTTTCATAGTGCATACAGGGATAATTGCCGGCTGATGTCCCATTTCACTTATATTAAAGTTGTTCAACGGGCCTCTGCGAGTTGGCTTCGGCCCCTCGTACGCCTTCCAAAGGTCCGGGATCCTGTGATCCCGTGAACGGAAACGAACATACAAATAATAAGTTTAAGTTACGTCATTTAATCATCGGTAATCATCGCATACGCGTATGCCACATCATCGCAAGGTCGAGGATATCAGAGTGGTTTGCGATCTAATCTTGACTGGACTTGGGAAGTATTGACAAACAGGTCGGTCATCCTGGTCACCAGGGGCAAGTGGAATCAGCGAGGGATGTCGCGTGGTGTTCCACAGGGATCAGTACTGGGACCGCTTCTGTGAACTATCGAGCGGCGTCAGCGTGGCCTGTTATGATGACGACAGCCAGCGAGCGAGTAGGTTGCATCTGCGGCCGACCTTATGTCACAAGTCCAAGCCATGTCATACTGTCATGACCTCCGGATGGTTCCCGAATAATGGCAGGAGGTGTTACCATCGGTGTCGATTCGGTGATGAAGCTGGGTCTCATCCTAGACAGCCGAAGGAACGACGTGGAACATTGCAAACGTTTGGTTCCGAAGTTGGAACGCAGGACAGGGTCTGCACTCAAGCGGCTCCTGCCCAACCTGGGCGGACCAAACGCTATCTGCATAAGGTTGTACTTGGGGATCGTGCGATCCATGACCCTTTACGGGGCCCCTGTGTGAGCATTGGCTTGAGGCGGCGGCCTGTCGTGCGCTGGTCTCGTCCAAGAGGTTCATGGCGATACGAATAATCCGCTATAGCACGATCTCCGGAAAGGCGACTTGCTGGATCACCGCCATGGGATCTGGAAGTGAAGGCACTGATTGGCTATTAGGCTCAATGACATGGTCGTGGCCACATAGATTGTACGCAAATTATAATAATCAAAACGGAATGAAGCTTGGCTAAGATAAAGATATATTGAAAATGTGGGATCTAATTTTATTATTTGTTTGGATCGCTGGTTGTAAGTTTCCTTCAGTTTTTATTAAACTTCTTTCGCTTCTCATATCTGGTAGAAATATTCTAAATGATTCTTTTGACATGAACAGTAAACCTAGCGATATACATGTGTACAAAAGATATTTCTGCCGGCTTTAAAGATAAGCTGTAGGCCTACCAAGTGTTAAAGCGTGAATCTTCCGGGCGAGAAAGAGGGATGGAACTATAAAAGGTGTATAGCTCCATCCCTCTTTCTCGCACGAAAGATATTTAACACGTCATGGTAGGCACTCTGCTCTTATTATTGAAGTAGGTAACGGAAAAGTTTTGTTTGCCTAAAAGCAGCGGTAGGCATGATCTCAAACAATAGGGATAGTAATTGGGTCTTAAAACTTACGGAACCTATTTATACTCCAGTTATCGAAAAAAAAAAAAAAAATTATTTATTAACACGTATTTGATCCAGTTACATTAACACAGATATAATAAAGGAAAAGAAAAAATGAAATATAAAAAGATGAACTTAAAATAAACAAAAAAACAAATAGGTACTTATTATTCAGACTTTCACAAAAACTCAACCATATACCTCTAATAATATTAAATTTATCTACAAATACATCACAGTCGGGATAGGCCTCCACGAGACTATTAAGGGCGGACAGCGCTCTGGGAATACGGGATGATGCACGGGCTACGGTGCCGACGAGCACGAAGGTAGTTCTGTGGCGCATATAATCGGATCAGTTCATTGTGGAGGTCAGGAGCATCTATGATACCTCTGCAGATTGTGAGCATGATGTACATCTGACTAAAGGCTCAACAAATGTGGGTTGATGGGCTCCTTCCAAATTTACAATACCGTGTGCGTTGCAGTGCTCGTGCAATTTTTGCAATACTTATGTATCAACTTTCCGGTTTTTTCCAGAAAAATACCTAGGTTCCTACATAAAACACAGACTATTAATTAAATTATTTATTTAGTAGGTCACGCACAGGAAGACTGTATGTCTCAAGAATTACAGCTCCCACCACCCGAGAGTCGCACCCTCGTAGGCAATACAACCACGATAAAGAAATATCCTTTTGCAGTACAGGTCGGTAAAGTTAATAATTTCAAACAAAGGGATAAGTATATAATATTACATATTTACCTAGATATTAAGTCTGGTAGAGCCAAGCTTCGGCACGAACGGGTCAGCTCGACCGGAGTGATAACACGGCCTCACAGAAAACCGGCGTGTAAAGACCACAGCGTTGTGTTTCTGGAACGGTTGGAATAAAGGCAAGTTGCCTTTGGTGTTGCGGGTGTCCATGGGCGGCGCTGAATGCGGTATCTCGTTTACCGAACTTTACTATAATAAAAAACGAAAGAACAATATTTTAGAACTTTATTAATTGCTGCAGTATTGTTATGTAATTCGCCAAGCAGTTCTTGGTTTGAACTGTCAGATTTTTGAGCGGACAAGATATAAAAAAATGTCTACAAGATCTACAGTAGACACAAGCATCACACGGCAATACATAAATATTGATCTCTGGATCCAGGGACACGAGTAACTTGGACCCCCAAAGACGAATGTTAACAGTAGACATCTTCTGAATGTGATTGCAGATCCTCAAGCATAACCGTGGTTCATACGACTTACAATGTGTAGGCTCACTCCTGACCAGGCGTTACGTATTGAGTGCAGCAAGTTGCTTCATTGTTTCGTAAGTAAATATACACATATTATTTAATATCTATCTATATATATATAAAAGAAAGTCGTGTTAGTTACTCCACTTATAACTCAAGAACGGCTGAACCGATTTAGCTGAAAATTGGCAGGGAGGTAGTTTAGAGCCAGGAGAAGGACATAGGATGGAGTAGGTAGAGTAGGGTAGGTAGAGTAGGTTAGGTAGAGTAGGGTAGGTAGAGTAGGTTAGGTAGAGTAGGGTAGGTAGAGTAGGGTAGCTAGAGTAGGTTAGCTAGAGTAGGTTAGGTAGAGCAGGGTAGATAGAGTAGGGTAGGTAGAGTAGGGTCGGTAGAGTAGGGTAGGTAGAGTAGAGTAGGTAGAGTAGGGTAGGTAGAGTAGGGTAGGTAGAGTAGGGTAGGTATAGTAGGGTAGGTAAAGTTGGGTAGGTAGAGTAGGGTAGGGTAGGTAAAGAAGGGTAGGTGGGGTAGGTAGAGTAGGGTAGGTAGTCAAATGACGGGAGCGACGCCGCGGGTAAGAGCTAGTAATAGATAAAAAACAATGATTTACAAATACTTACAAACTAAATGATAATGACTTACAAAACCGGATAGTTAAAGCATTACACAAAGCAATTCAATTTCTAGCCACTTATCTAAGTAAGTGGCTAGAAATAAATAACTTAAAATAAATATGACTATTAAAACAAATACAATACAATTTCAAGTATGCAACACAAACCAAATTGGCCTTGGCTATAACAATTCCGTTTTAAACAAGGTTCATAAGTGGACAAAAATTGCATTTGGAAATAAAACATAGATAAAATAACTACTAAAAAATAGATCGCTTTGTATAGATGCATGTCCTGAAAAAAAAAGAAGACTAACTATTCATTTATTAATTTACTAACTATAGCCCGCGGCTTCGCTCGCGTTAAAAATAATATTAATTAGGTATAGTGTCTTGAAAATTAAGGCCTACAAAACATCTTTGTAAACAACAATCTTAACTTTTCTATTAATATTCTGTTCGAATGGAATATCATGAGGTAGTAATGGGCTAAATTTATCAAAATTCTATTTAAGCGAACATCTTCATCAATCTTTAATTTCAGCTCAATCAGTCGAAAATCTAAGAAGATCTAAACAAACTTTCATTCCCTATTTTATCCCCTTAGAGGTGGAATTTATCAAAATCCTTTTTAGGGGATGTAGGCAACCCGTATTACATAGGTACGCATAACGTAGGCGTTATAGTAGCTTTATGCATGGAAGGTCTCAGCCCGATCGGTTTAAAACTGACAAAGTTTCATATAAACTTTCATCCCCTTTTTTATCTCCTTGGGGGTAAAATTAAACAAAATCCTTTCTTAGCGGATGCCTACGTCATAACATCTACCTGCATGCCACGTCCAGTGGTTTGGGCTGTGCGTTGATAGATCACTATATATCAGTCACCTTTGAGTTTTAATATATTTAGATAGAAATACCGCAATGGTTGCGTTACGTTTCATCAGTACTTGGATATGGTTTTATAAGGGAAACTCACTTCTTTCTTCTTTTTTTTAATTCAAACAAGTTGTTACTTCATGGCATTTATTAGATAATATACCTGTATCATCACTATTCACCATTTTCGCTGCTCAAAAGATCATTAAATAGAGAATATTAAAAAGATAAATAATTATTAGTAGGTATCTTGTAAAATCAATTAATAATTATATTCAATAATTATTTGTCATTACTAAGTATGAGTAAATAATAAATACAATGTCTGCTTTCGCGCAATGTAAAATTATAATTATTTTAAATTTAAATTGATACCTAATTAGTAATATAATTTACTAAGGACTAGATAAATAATAATTGTATAATATCATGGCAGGATATGCTGGAAAACGCTCCGTTCAAGTAAGAATCCACTGAAACATTAATTATTATTTTCGTATGATTCTTAATACTGGTCTTTGACTTAGGTTGTAAATAGCTCTGATGGCACACTTTTGTGACACAAGACTGAATGTCAGCAAAAAAATGCCATACGACATAATGACTATGGACTGCCAGTTCGGCTTCCGCAGAGGGCGCTCCACGGTGGACGCTATCATGTTCGTGATGAGGAAGCAATCCTCCTCAGCCAGAGACGATCTCCGGCCACCGTAAGCGCTAGTCTGCGGACGGCGCGTAGCGTTCCGCGCGCGCCTCAAAGAGCCAATAGACCACCCCAGACGGGGCTGGTGTTCAGCCGGGGTTGCGAGGCAAGCGCAATGAGGCACCGCGACCTCGGCGCAGAGCAGGAGAAGGAACGGTGGCGACGTCTGATTTGTTTTTCGGTAAGCCTTTGACGGCCGACAGAAAACCGTTGAAGACAAAGCCTCCGCTACCGTCGGTGACCTCCGTGCCAGGCAACGTGTTAACTAACAACCCTCAGGCTATAGAAACGTTAACGTTTTGTATTATTATTATAACTCTATTCAATAATTGTTTTTTTTTTTTTGTAACAGGCAACTGCAATACGCAATTAATGCTTTTCCTATTACAGAACTAAATGCACCAATCCTTTAGAAACCACATCCACGACTACAACTACTATTACTCCGAGAAGAAGTTCGAGAACCAGACCCAATAAAACCACTAAAATGTTCGAGTGGACCAGTTCGACGAACTACGCGAAAACAAAAACACGGAACTTCCCGTTAAGATGGTTGGCGGATTCATCATATTGTATGATAGTATTTTTTTAATGATTACGGACTACCCAATGGTAAGCAATCGGCGCTGCCCGTGGACACCCCAGCACCAGATGAGTTAAGAGTGCGTTGCCGGCCTCTTGGACATTCCGGGGTACCGGTAACCTCACTCACACGGCGAAACACAACGCTATGGTTGTTTCACGCCGGTTTTCTGTGAGGCCGTCGTATCACTCACAAGCATGGCTCACCCAGATAAAAATGTAATATGGGATCCTTTTCCTAATAATTTGTTGACGTATACAAAATAATAATAATAATACGAGTATATCCGCAAGGCAGCTTGTGGCGAGCGGTTCGGCAGTAGCGACCCCATGGACTTGGACTTGGACTTGGCTTCTGGGACGTGTTTTGTTCCTCATCTCCGGTTAGTCTTAGTGACTAGCCGAAGAGAACACTGATGAGGAATAAACCCTCCTACTTCATCCTCGCCTTAATTGGCTGGCTTGAGTGGAGATTTGCAAGAGTAGGAGTTGAAAGAGACTCGGGGGAAAGATGTATGGTGCTGGTAGGGGTCTTGACTGTACTTCCGGATTTACTCTGCTAGCCGTGGGATGCCTCTCCTTCCTCATTCACACACACTTCTCAACGTATGTTGCCCATGTGTCGCGACATGCGGCCGTTTCCGGGGGCCCATTAATTGAGTTTGCCAGTCACACCCTGCCTGTTTATCCGAATGTATCAATATTGGTCAGGGGCAGGGGCCATAGTATTTCCATAATGGACATCCGCTAGTCCATAGCAACCCTAGAGAGGATCCAAATTGCTGTCTTCACTCACACCGGATCCTGTGTAATATGGATCGGATGTGTACAGCCCTTATAATCCACATGTATACTGTTGTTAATTTCTCCAAAAAAATAGAGAAGTACTGCAATATATGTGGTGTGTAGCCGACTCTTGTGAGCTTCTCCAGTAAAATGTTGTCGACCGTGTCGATTTTCGATGACCCACGTGTGTAATCAACAGCACCGGTATCCGACACCCCATCAGTCTTCAACTAATTACCAAGTTCTCGTTGAATTAAATTTTTCAAGTAGAAATACTTGTACGTTACAGTGTAGTCTTATTATAAAAATCTAATTCCTTCTCTTATTAATAATTTAGTTATATTAGTCACAAAACAATGTCGATTGCTGGGTTCTTGTGTTGAATACTGGTGTTACATTACGATTTTATAATAAAACATTATTTAAAGGGGCGGTGGTCTCTACGTAGATCCTGCGGATTTCTACATTCATGTTGGCACAACACGCGATCACGAAGCAGGTAAATATACCTATAACTAAGTAAAAAAAACCGACCGAACCGAACCGCAGCCTACTGACTGCGCGACGTCGTCGCGTCCGCGCACGCTGCTCATGAGGAAGAACCCCTCTGTGGTTCGAAACTAGTAGAGCTTTTCTCAATATATACACGTGAGCAACCCGCGATTTTAATTATTAATTATTTATATAAATATGTGTGTGATTTTAATAACTAAAATCGCGGGTTGCTCACGTGTATATATTTATATATTTATTTATTTTCTCTGTTGGAAGTCCAAATAAATAAATAAATATAAACACGTGAGCAACCTGCGATTTTTAGTTATTTATTTATTTATATATGTGTCGATAATGTAATGCGGGAGCTAATTTGTTAACGAGGCGGAAGTTTGTGACGTAACACTTCGAAGGAATCTAACCAGTGTGCGTGCGAGTCAACTACAGTCCCAGTTTAGGGATGGCGATTGGTGCTGATAAAGATCGATTTTTCTATCGTGACTTGCTTTACTGATGAGTATTGGCGAAGGAGATTAAATATTTCTTGAGTTTTATTATTTGCTTAATAGTATTAAATAACAATATTATTAACTCAATTAAGAATAATTAATACTCACCTGATAGAATAGCATGTAACCAGACATTGTTTTGACCAGAGACCAACCGGATGTAGGTAATTAATTAAATAATTTTACTCAATCAAGTACAGTGACCTCTAATATGTTAAACTGTATTGAACTTATAAAGTTAAAGGATATATAAATTACATTTACTTTTATTTTTTATATTTAATAAATTGTTTAATTATATTCTATTTATACTGGAAGTTATTTGATGATTCAAATCAACTAACTGTCTTGTAGCGACATCTATCGCACAACTTTAACAACAGCACTAATCACGTGCAAGACTCTACTTTGCTGTATAAGAGTTCTCTACACAATCAGATCCGATACAAAAATCCCGACCACAACAATCGGGCAGTAGCCCACCAGACACAATACCGACGTGGAAACCCATCGTACTTGACACTAACGCTCGCAGGGAAGTATGGCAGAGTAAAGAGCTTCACTGACGCTTTTTCCGAGCCCTGCATGGACCGTCATCATCCGTCTACATTAGACCAGGTGGCGTCCGTAGCCTGGCTGCGTTTCGGTGACCTCTTTATCATGACGAATAACTACCGGAGATTTATTGTGAAGGACGGGTTGACATCTGCCGGCATGTCACCGTCAGGGCGAATCAATTCGTCACATAATCTCTGGTTGTTCTCGTCTAGGTAACGGCGAGTACTTGCATAGGCACAACCTTGTAGCCAGGATCATTCATCAACAGCTTGCTTTGAAGTACTCCCTTGTAGAATCGGAAGTGCCGTACTACAGGTATGAGCCCGACCCAGTCCTTGATAATGGTCATATTACCTTTTACTGGGACCAGGACTATTGTGTCCAATAAGCCTGATATAGTGGTGGTGGACCGAAACGAGAGGCGTGCAATGATTGTTGACATAGCCGTCCCACGTGACGAGAACCTCGTGAAAGCTGAGAAAGATAAACTAATCAAGTATATTGACTTGGCACGCGAGTTTGTCGACATGTGGGATGTGGATTCGGCTGTCATTGTACCAATAGTCGTGTCAGCCAATGGCTTAATAGCTAAGAGTCTCGACCAACATCTTAGGAGGCTCTCGTTAGGCGGCTGGATTAAGGGCTTGATTCAGAGAGTGGTACTCCTGGACACGGCTCGTATTGTTAGGAGGTTGCTTTCTCTGGAGCCCTGACCGCCGGTAGCTTGGACCGGTGGACACTATTTTTTATGTTTTTAAATGTTTGTTATTTTTATTTTTAAGAAATGTTTAAATATATAATTTATATATTTATATGATGAATAAAGAAAATGATAATAATAAAATGTATTTATTCAGATAACTCAAGATCCATACATTACAAAAAAATAGGAACACTGAAGTAAACTAATACAGAATGGTCCCTGGTGGAAAAAGTCCCTGCTGACTTTGTCCTCAGCACCAGTTTCCACAAAAGAGGACAATCGTGTCGGTTAGCTATAGCACTTAAGATGCTGTGACGACTTCCACGCAGCCGACTGATGAGAGATGCAGTCTTTTTGCGCCAGATTGCTATGAAGCCATCCGTGTGTGCATTAGCAAACATTACTGAAGGCGTTGTTAAATTGGACCCGCAGAGCATTGTAAGCTCTTTGGGTGTAATTAACCCACAGACCTCCCGTGTACAGTGACGTAAAATATGCTGTAAATAAAGTAATTTTGACTGCGTCATCGGAAGTCAACGTACAACGGGAACTTTGTCAGTGCGCGCCAACATATTGGCCCGAACTGACAAAGCTCTGCGTTCCCTCTCCACGTCGACATCGTCTTTTAAATCATCCGTGACCCAATGCCCAAGATATTTAAATTGGTACACTCTGTTTAACTGTTTAAAAACTCACCATTAAGGATTAGCGGTTGTACCGGTGGACTGTTGGGACCCGATTTAAAGACCATGTATACAGTATTTTTTACAAAATGATAAGTTTCATGCTGTGAATGAAAACATGTGAATTATATGCATGCAGCCCATGACTACAGGTAAAGTCACTAGCAAATGCTAGTAATATATACCTAGTCTAGCCATAAATACTGTAACAAATAAAAAAAATATTTTTTCTATTGCAAATAACATTTATTACTTTTACAGTATGTAAGTTTAATACATAAATATAAAACAATTTAAAACATAAAAAGCTTATTCGAAGTGGTCTCCATTGGCTGCAATACAGTCCTTTAAACGTTGAGGCCAGCTATCAATAGAAGCACGCACTCTTTCCATGGGAAAATTCTTCACTGCCAATCGTATGGATTGTTTTAGGGAGTCCAAATTATCATGACGTTTAGAGCAAGCCCTACTCTCTAAAACTGACCATAAATCATAATCTAGCGGATTCAGATCGGGACTAGACGACGGCCAGTCTTCAGCTCTGATGAAGTCGGAAACGTTCGTTTCCAACCAAGACTGCGTGGACCGAGCTTTATGACCCGGCGCCGAGTCTTGCTGGAAGGACCATTGTTGGTTATTGAACATGGTGTTGTTAAGGGGCTTAACTACCTTCTCAAGAATGGTATTTTGATACACTTGTGCCGATGTTTTGATATCTTTTTCGCAAAAGTATGGCTCAGTCACTCCTTCATAGCTAACGCCCCACCAAACCATCACTGAAGTCGGATAATGCCCACGTTGCTTTCTGTCGACTAATTGAGAAGCTTCCTTAGAGCTTTGAACAAAAATACGGTCATTTTGTTTGTTAAAATGTTGCTCAATTGTAAAAAATTTCTCATCCGTAAACAATTTTTTTCTGTACCTCCCTTTGCGTACCGCTTCAGTAGTCGTTTAGATTTTATCTCCCTATTGTTTTTTAAATTATCATTTAATAAATGTCCAGTTCGTCTTTTATAGGCTGCAAGTCAAGAATCATCTAGAGAGATCAAAATCTTTTGCTTTCGGACAGGATTTCTTCGAATTCTTTCCCTTACTGCTTTGACCACCTTTTTCGTACGAACCCTACGTGGACGGCCAGATCTTTTTCTGTCACAAATAGTGGAAGTCTCATTGTACCTATTAATAGCCCGATACACAAACATTTGACTAATGCCAAGCGTGTGGAGAGTTTTAAAAATTGCATTTGGCTCCATACCCACTTTGTATAATGGAATCACTACGATTCGGTTCTCTTTATCACCCCACTCCATTTTAATATCGCAAAATATTGAACATTTTATTGGCGCCAAATTAAGAAAACACAATGAAAAATTATATAAAAATGACAGATTCCAAATTCAAATGTAATATTTTTTTATTTTTAATTGTAACAGAATTTATGGCCAGACTATATATATACACATATATATATTCACAATGTGCAAGTAAATCGCACTTTCATATGATACCAAACATGACACATTTACTTAACTTTGTTTTTTTACTCTGGATGTTTTGTCCGCTAGAGGACGCCACCTTAGATTTTGTGATACCCCATATAACCTATAACCAGCGGACAGTTAAGAAGTTTCTAATGATATGTCACTTGTCGAATTCTGATAAGTAGTTTAGAAGTTACGAGGGAACAGATGAACATGCATACATACATACATACTTCCTTTTGCTTTGACGTAGTCGGGTAAAAAACAAAAAAAGTCTATTCAGTTAATACCTACTTATAATAAATCTGTAGAGAGGTTAATTCTGTACATGAAATATATTTTCAAAATAACTATCAGGGAGTGATTAGTGATCGATACTGTTGCAAAAATGTAATATGCCAATAACACGTGTAACTTCTATTACTATGTTTGAGCTATTTCAATGTGTTGCTGTAAGTTTTCCTCAAACTTCTGTGTTTATTTAATTTAAATCAACTTTGTCTATTTGTCTGCCTTTGCTTCAAACCTACAGTACTGAACTGATTTGGATAAAAATTTGTACAGATATAGTTTGAAACTCTGGAAAGAACATAGCATAGTTTTTATCACGGAAATTCAAAAGGAGAACTTTCCTATTCCCCTTCTCGACGCGACCGAGAACTATGTGGGTAAAACAAAAAATCTGCCAGAAATCACTATTTCACGCGAACGAAGTCGCTGGCAGAAGCTAGTTATAAGTATAACCAATCATCAGTCATCCATCTTTTCACAAAATCCCGACATACATTTCTCCACTGCTGCTGTAAACAAATCACATTCGGTGCGACGACGGTGCGGCTGTAAAGAGAGTATAGATCATCGCCAGTGACTGACATGCGCTGCTGGCACCGCCAATAACGAGTGCCACCAGTTCAGGACAGTCAGAATTCACTCGCAAGGTACAGCAGCTTGAAATAATTTCAGGGAAATTACGCCTGACGGCCAAAGAGTTAAAATTTAACACTCCAAAAACTTGGTATGATAAAGAAACGGATAATAGGCTATGTTAAGTACAGAGTCTATACGGAGCCAATCGAATCAATTGCAGCCTAAACCAGACCCGCCATTTCGCCAAAAGTTAGTTATTAAAAACTTGAAAGAATCGACGTTTGTCAACGTGGTCGTGTAATGCAATAAAAAAGATCTAGTTGAATACATTGTTAGCAAAATAACTAATTTGCCATCTTGGAAGACTCGTCGTTTGGAATTCAGTGACATCCTTTTGTTTTTCAAATTACTTTCAGCTACCCAATTTAAATTCGATTTACTGAGAAAAGCTCGACTAGTTTCAAGTCTCAACGGGACCCTTATCATGAGCAGCGTGCACGTCGTGACTGCGCGACGTCGCGGTAAAGCTGTCGTAGCTATTATAGCTCGTCTCGTGTGTCAGACATTTTCAATAGTTTCAGTATGCCTAACGATAGTTACTTTACAAAAAAGCAAATAACATTTAATAAAAGTTTAAAATCATTTATTTGTCGATTGACGACAGTTGCGGTTATTGCTAGACCCGACCAATGTTTTGACACCTACGATTAATAACGATTAATGGACGTTCCATTAACAGGTGGCAAGCGTTATGAAGTATCAGCAATAATACACCACGAGAACTTCACATATTTTGTCAATGATATAGCATTAGTACGGACCAGGGAGCCGGTCGGCCTGGGCCCCACGGTGGCGACTGTCTCTGTGAACAACCTAGGCACCGAAAATCTTTATTTGACATCCAAAGTCAAACTTATTGGTTGGGGCTCTGCGGTACAGTATATGTGGTTATACTATTAAGAATCTTATTGCTAAACATTTAAGGCACAACCTAGTTTGAGCAACAGAGATGAGATGAGTTGTTATAGGACGATAAACGAGTAGGTGGATTACCTGATGGCAGGGCCTCCCATGTTCACCCGCAATAACGGGGCAGTTAAGCGTGCGAAGCCGACCTTTTCGGTATAAGAGTTTTTCGCGCCTACTGGTATGATGGCGATACCGGCGAATTCGCACTTTCTGGACAAGCTCTTCAACATGCAAGTCCACGCTGTAAGCACTGCTGAGTTCTTGTAGACCTACATTTTAAATGTAGGTAATCACATCTTTTATCCTATTGTAATCTGTACAGGGTAGTTCCAATTCAAAAGTTCTACAGGAGGTGTCGATTCAGCTAATCGGCTGGGATCTTTGTGCCAATATATACTCTAAAAAAGGCATTACCACCACCAATATGATATGCGGTGAACGTCCAACAGGTACGTTTACAGTATTTTCAAAACTTGGCATGATGAGTTGTTAGACATTTTTTAAATTTGAAATTGTGGATGAGTAGTGGGGAGGATAAGACCTTCGTTAAGCCTCAGTTACACGGTAAAATACAACGTAAGTTTTGATTCACGCTTGTTTTCTGTGAGGCCGTGGTATCACTCCGGTCGAGTTAGCACTTTTTTTCCTTTTCCGATTTGTTTTTCACTAAAATATGTTTCATTCATGTCTGCAGGTGAAGGAATGTGTGCGTTTCATTTGGGTGGCCCTCTAGTCCTTGGGGATATTTTGGTGGCGATTGCGTCAAGTTTTAGTTGCCAGGATAAGAAGATCCAAGATTTGTATACCATGGTAAGCAGGTACACCGAATGGATCCAGCAGGAGGTTCGTCATTTAATTTATTATTCCATCTATAAATTATAGTTTATTTGAGACTTTATAGTAGGTAACGAGTTACTTTAATCTTACAGACTGACATAATTATGTATATATAAGTATTATGTATGATTGAACCTCGCTGGAGTAGCCACTGCATTGACCTGAATTTAGTCTTGACGAAATCCTGTGACCATCAAGTAGGGAATGCATAAACTAACCTGGATGCAGATCGGGAGTTGACGGGAACTTCACCAACGACGGGGCGTAAGCCGGCCGGCCAGCTATTTCTCGAACCACAGAACTTGCACAGTTTTGTTTGCTATCACCAAGTCAGGCAGGATTGATCGAACACCAAAAACAGTCAGTGAACCACTAGCGAGGTGTTTTACATGTAATATTAATTATTTTTGCGGACACTTCGCGACGACGCTTAAGCCGCCATTCTTCCTTTTGGATTAGTTTCTTTTCCTGCCACGGCGCGCTGCGCTGCGCGCGCATCGATAAATTGTAGGACGCTGTCGCATACTGTACTTTGAGCCCGGTAATGTTGGCGGTAAATTTAAATTAGGAGAGGAAATATTTTGGATATAGGATTATTAAGTACAGGATCGGTTTAATGTTTATACATTTCCCCCCACTTGAAATTCACTAGGATTTCACAGATTGAAGAATCCCTAAAGAAGCTGCGCTCGAAAATTCTTAAAATAAATGAAATACTTATAATTAAATTAACCTAAAGAACAATACTATTTCAAACAAATAGTATTGTTAACGCGAGAGTATTTTAAAAAAATTAATTGAAAGGCAAAGGACAGACCTTGACTACAGGCCGCCTTATAGATTTTCCGTTTGCAGTTCGGAGAGTAACCACTCGAACAATATTGTCGGAACCGGCATGAACTTGCTCTACGCGAGCTAATTTCCAAAACAAGGGCGGAAGATTAGGTTCGTTAATTATTACCAAATCGTCTACTTTTAAGTTAGGCGCATTTAAATACCATTTACTCTTCTGTTGAAGCGTGTGAAGATAATCCCGTTGCCAGACACGCCAAAAATCTTGGGTAATCTTCTTAATCATTTGCCAACGAGAACGAGGACATCGCGTTTCACCTAAAGGTTCTTCAGGTAAAGATACTATAGGGCCTCCCGTTAGAAAATGTCCGGGCGTTAATATATCTGATTCTTGAGGATCAGGAGATGAAGTACAAAGCGGCCGAGAGTTTAAAACGGCTTCTACTTTTGCAAGAATTGTAAAAAACTCTTCTAAGGTAAGAACTTGGGCACCTACAACACGTTTAAGATGATATTTTGTGGACTTGATACCACTCTCAAATATACCTCCGAAGTGAGGTGCGCCTGGAGGGTTGAATTGCCAGTTAATTTGACGGGTGGCTAAACCGTCAGCAATATCAGGGTAATGTTTACGGAGTTCGTCGACAATTTCGTTCAGATACCTATTTGCCCCAACAAAATTTGTCCCGTTATCAGTGACAATTGTGTGACACATTCCTCTGCGAGACACAAATCGGTCTAGAGCAGCAAGGAATGCTTCGGCGCTCAATTCAGTTACGGCTTCCAAGTGAACGGCCTTCGTACTTAAACAGACAAATAGACAAACATATGCCTTATAAGATTTTGCTCCACGGCGACGACTCTCTCTAACTATAAATGGTCCACCGAAATCAATGCCCGTGGTTTGAAAACATCGGGAGGGTTGGACTCGAGCCGCTGGTAACTTACCCATCAAGGGTGTTATGGAAATTGGTCTATTTTTGAAGCAACGGACACATTTTGAAAGTACCGTACGGATAAGGAGTCTTAACCCGACAATCCAGAATTTTCTTTGAATTAAAGATTGTAGGGTACGGGGACCACAATGAAGATATTTCAAATGAAAATGGTCGACAATCAGTCGAGAAATAGGACACTGTTTCGGTAAAAGCAGAGGATGTAACGCTGACGGCGATAGCTTCGCTTCATCTATACGTCCCCCCACTCGCATCAAACCATCCTCATCAAGGAATGGAGATAATTTTTGAACTGATTTTTCACATTGTTCATGCTTTTGCACTTGTTGGACTTGCGATGACATGTAGTGATTTTGAGTGAACTTAACTAGTGTCTTCATTGATTTATCGAGCTCGGAACTTGTAAGCGCGGAGAATTTTCGATCTGACTTTGCTGTTTGTAAGTTACTAACGAATCGAATACACCATGCCAAAGTTCTTAGAAGTTTTGTAAAAGAAGAACATCTTAAAGTTAATTTTAAAATTATATTTTCTTCTTGGACGGTGATAAAACTCTCTGTAACTATAGGTTTCAATTCAGGCAGCTCTTCCTTAGCGAGCAATGTCTGCTTGGAAGGCCAAAAGCATGGCAACTTCTGTAACCATGTAGGGCCTTTCCACCATAATGGGTGGCCAGCAAGTTCCGTGCAAGATACACCACGACTGCAGCAGTCGGCCGGATTGTCCTCTGTAGGAACATGATACCAGGACTCCGGACTGACCGAGTCGGTAGCCTGAACTACTCGATTGGCAATATACATTTTCAGTAGATGGGGTGCTGTATTTAACCACGACAAAGTAGTCGTGCTGTCGGAATAAGCTCGGACGGATGTGATTGCAAGTTTTTCCTTAAGGAGCTTATTCATGTGAGAAAGTACTCGTGCCAAGAGTACTGCTGCGCATAGCTCCAGCCTATTTACGGTCGTTGGTTTTATAGGGGCAACACGAGACTTCCCTATCAACAAATTACTAACAGTGGAATGTTCAGTAACCACACAGAGATACACGCAACAACCATATCCCTTCAATGAGCCATCACAAAAGCCCACCAAATGTACCTCCGTAGGATTGGAAGGTACAACAAGCCTAGGAAGAGAGATTTGTTGTAAATCTGACAAATTCGCAGCTATCAAATGCCACCTTTTCGCTAATTCTTTGGGAATAGCTTCATCCCAAGACAAATTAGAGCGCCACATCTCTTGCAATAAAGATTTGGCCGCGAAAACCACTGGGCTAATCCAACCCAAGGGATCATAAATCCGGGCTACTATGGATAGGATGGATCTCTTGGTGAACTGCACATTAAAAGAGTCTGAGAAGCTATACGAGAAGTTGTCATCTGATGGATTCCACCGTATTCCTAATATCTTGACAAACTCATTTCCTGATTCTTCGAAGGATTTAGAAGTTTGACAATGATCCGGAGGAACATCTGACAATAGACTCGGCGTATTGGTACTCCACTTTCGGAGCTCAAAGTGACCTTTTGATAGCAAAGATACAATATCCGACTTTAACTGCCTAGCTTCCTCGAGTGACGAACATCCTGTAGTAATATCATCCATGAACGTTTCTTCGAACAGAACTTCAGATGCACGACTCGAGTATTCAGAGCCGTGGTCTTCCGCAAGTTGACGGAGGGTTCGAATGGCCAAGTAAGGGGAACTACTGACACCATAAGTCACGGTGTTTAGCTCGTATTCACTTAATGGCATGCTAGGGTCGGGACGCCAAAGAATGTGTTGATAACACCTATCTTCGGGTCTGATTAAGATCTGACGGTACATTTTACAAATGTCTGCGGTGAAAACTACCTTATGAAGTCGAAATTTTGTAATTAAATCGATAATGTCAATTTGAAGTTTTGGTCCAACGGAAACGATATTATTTAAGGAAAGGTTGTTATTAGTTTTACAACTCGCGTCGAAAACTACTCTAAGCTGAGTCGTAGAACTCTCTGGACGCAAAACGCAATGATGTGGAATTAAGTACCGATGAGAAGACGAAGTGGCTACGGGCTGCATGTGTCCTAGCTCTTCGTACTGTCTCATGAATTTTTTGTACTCGTTCTTTAAATCTGATTGCTTAGCGAGTCGATTTTCTAAATTAAGAAAACGATTGAAGGCTTGACGGTATGAATCTCCTAAAGGTGGAGCATCATCTTTTAATAAGATGGGTACTACATAACGACCGTCGGCAGTACGGTAAGTACCTTCTTTATACTTTTGTTCACAATACTCGTCCTCGGGAGCGGAAATTTTACATTTCGGCGGTTCCTCGGACTCCCAGAACCGTTGAACGATCTCATCGAGCGAGCAAGAAGACGCGAGGAGTGACGTAACGGGTTCACTGGGAATTTTAATTTCCGTGTTATGAAAATATTGACCGGTTATCACCCAGCCGAACACACTGGACAATGCACAAGGTAGTCCGGGTCCGGGACTGTAACGTGACCCAGTATATATTTGATCAAAACACTCAACACCTAACAAAAGATCGATCGGACCCGATTTATAAAATTCACGGTCTGCGAGATCAAGATGCAGGAAGGAATCCTTGACGAACAACGGTAGCTCGGTCGAGGGCATCGCGGAAGTAATTTTAGGTAAAACTATCAAAGGCAAATCGAACTTAGGTGATTCACTCGAACGAGGTATTATCGAACCAGACGTGTAACCCTTTATATTACAAACAAAGTTTTGACCAAGACCAGTAACATTTAAGTTACATTTTTTAATGGGCAAACCCAAGCGACGTGCACACGCACTCGTTATAAAAGAATCCATCGAACCGCTGTCAATAAGGGTGCGCGCATACTGAAGCGAGCCGTCCGCGTGATGTATTCGTACTACCGCCGACCCTAATATTTTCGTACTGTTAATGAAGGTAGCACTACTCGAATCATTTGACTTGGTCGTGCTAGCAAGCGCGGTACTCGGGTTAACGGTGTCAGACAAGCTTGAATTAACAGTCAGAGTTAATAAACTTTTATTTTCGACATGCAACAGTGTGTTGTGTTTCGTATTGCAAATGAAACAAGTGGACTTGGATTTACAATTGTCACTATCGTGACCTGGTCTTAAGCAATTTCTACATAACTTTAATTCTTGAACAATTTTCTCCCGCTGATCCATACTCATAGAGTGCATTTTACCACACCGATAAATGGAATGATTTTCATTACAACATACACAAACTAATTGATTGGATTTGTTACTA